GTAGGGTTATAAATACGTTGCCGCCTTTCAAAAATTTGGGCTCAGGTTACCTCACTCACCAGATGAAACGCAGAAGTTCACTTCCACTTCCCATTCTTGCAATAGAGAAGACCGCTATGTCGCCCCACTTTTTAGTAATTCAGACAGAGATATCAATAAGCCCGTAACTAGCAATAGCCGCAAGTCCGAACAAATCCGCTGAGAGGCAGTCATTAGTAATAGGCGCTATTGAAGCGAAAAGGCATCGCAGCCCAATCAAGATGTCGACCACGCGAATATATTTACGCACCGTATCCATATTTACATCCGGACGCTCAAACAATGAATGCCTTTCATACACGATTATGTCAGCTGACGTACGACGATCTTGTAAACAAAGGTCCATAGCAGTAGCTATGACGAAGAATAACATCGACGGTGACGTGCGCTACATAAGTCTTAAGATGTTTTGGCTTAAGTAAATTCCAAACCAGGCAGCGTGTTTTGAGTTGTTCATAGAAGGAGCGAACAAGATATGACCACTTTGTTTATAAAGCACAGTTCATGTGTCTAGTCTATTCTAACGATGTAGTTAATTAGTGTCCGTCAGTAAGTATCTATTGTCGATACGTCAATTCAATTCGATAATTATCCTTTGCTTACAGTAATTATAAACAATTACGGTTTAATATAGTAAAAACATGTAGCGAAAATCCGGTATCTTCTATATTCGTCTCGATATTCATTTACAATGGGACCACTGCAAATTCCAATTGCCGCATTAAGATTATGGTATTCCTTTCTTATATCTTTTGGCATTATTTTTATATAAAATTTCATCGGGCGGTGCAATCCTTTATCTTAACACGTAGGATGCTGTACACCGAGTCATCTCCGCTGTATCGCCGAGCCCAAATGGCGTTCTCTTCATCATAAATAATCCAAAATGGCCAACGGGCCGCGGCTGCGCGCCAAAACGAGTAGCGTGACAAATGCTAACGCAATATTTTCACTGATCGCTCCATCTATTTATTTTGCGCTCCTTCAACGCGATCCGTACCAATTTTAATCATACCAATCAAAAGGCAATGATACAATTCCGGTCCCGCATAGTAATCCAACCGAGTACTCGGCACGCTGGTGCAGAAGCCGCGGTGACCATTTAAATCATTGCGCTGTGCAAATATCTATTTAATGAGTTTAAGTAATAATAAAGAGGACCGTAAAGGATAGAAAAAATAAAATGTTAAAAAATAACGCTCAAACCTGGTCACAAACAAACCAATGATATAAACAACACTAGTTTTACCGACTTAGGTGTAGGAACTATAAAATGTACTCTTACAGTATATGAATGCGCCATTTAAGGTCATACAATGTTTAAAGTTGTTCAACACTACAGAGAGGTTTTATATGCATTAGAGACAAATGACTAAAAAAAGAACAATGATATAATAGACGCCATAAAAGGTGCCGCGACCTCCAACTCCATTAGCGTATGGGCGGAGGCCTCATGTTAACAACCTTTATTTTTATATGAAATGAATGTTACTGAATTAAAGTATTTAATTTTACTTCTGTAATCACTAAAACAAAGTCATCCCGCTGTCTGTCTTTCCCTATGTATGCATAGATCTTTAAAAGTAGGTACGCAACGGATCTTGATGCGGTTTTTTTACTAGATAGAGTGATTCAAGAGGAAGGTTTATATGTACAATACAATGCACCCGTGCGAAGCCGAGGCGGGTCGCTAGTAAACCATAAAAAATGCTAAATTTGTGGTGAAATGCCTGACGGCAATACGATTTATTTCGTTACAAAAAATATAATAAAATTATACAACCGAAGGTATTTTAATTGAAAAGGAGAACTGATAACATATCGATATATTTATTTCGAATATGATTGCATTGTGACACTACAAGATAAACCATTAACGGTTCTCACAGACAGATAAGAAAAGGGATATGGTCATTAAAAAATTGAAGCGAAAAGTGAAGGGCGGCTCATTATTTACTATCAAAATAAACAAAATATTTAAAATGATATAAATTGTATCAACGCAGTCAACTGTGTGCACGCAACGAGGTTATTATGGTTTACCTTTTGCCACTGATTAATTTCTTGTATTACAGGCACATTATATATTTACATATTTTTTTTATTATTTACACAGCATATATATTTAGTTTTTCTACGTCTTTTTATCCGCTTTATTCATAAGAACCATTTCTAACTTGCTAATGATCATGACACCAAAAGGCATTTTCCCACATTATTTTCACACAGCCGCAGTAATCAAACTATATATTATGAATATTTTTAATAAATTGTACCTTCGATTGAAACGCTACTTTCATCCGAAAAAAGATCTGAGTTACAGAAGTTTTACTACCTGAAAAACAGAACGAAGGTATAGGCTCGCAATACTTACATTAACATTTAACATATTATTAACATGAGGCATTACTTCTAAGCTAATGTTCTTTTTGCAAACAATCAAAATGTCCTTTCAAGAAAGGAGTTCTAGCGTTGTATAACAAGGGTAACTAGCGGTCTAGTGACGAAAAATAGCCAAAAAGTTCAAAATTAAAAAAAGCCGGGGCCCACATTATTAAGAGCAACGCATCTGCAACCCTACGGGTGTTGCAAATGTTCATGGGCAGGCGGTTATCACTTAGCATCAGGTGAACCGCCGGCTCGTTTGCCACTTTCTCACATACTAAACAAATTTATCAAAGTTTTCGTTAAAAAACTATAAAAATGTAAAGAATGTAGAAGTCACCGTCTATGGACACAAAACTCGCACGTGTAAACAAAAATTTTTCAGATTTATTAAAAATACTAAGCGAAAACGAATCGTCAGTAGAGATCAATGATGCTAAAGTGCAGTCTGGACTAGACCGGCCTCAGACAATGACAGCTGATTAAACAAGGCGCACGTTCAAATATAAAAATTCAAATATTCCGCATTGTGAGTGTGTGCTAAAACATTGGGACACAAAGCAGTCAATCAAGCCCTGATCAGTAACCTGCTCAAATCGTGAAAGCTAGCGATAACTTAATGATTAATCTATCGATTGTTGTATGAAATAATTAAATATTTGAATTCAGAACTGCATGTGAAACTAAACAAAATATTGATGATTATAATAATAATAGATTAAAACACTCGGTACCATAATTTGGTATTCAAATTACCAAATTAAACTCTATTGACTATTTCACATACGACTAACTACTACTTTTCGGAAATATTATTAACGTTATGAAAAAGTACATAAAAAAACTTAACAATTTTCTTAAAAAAGGCATTACTAAATGAAAATAATTTTACGGATTATTCGCGTTGATTTACAAATTTTATTAACTCTTTTCAGCTTTTACTCGCGTAAATATAAGAAATTATCACTTATATAGGCAATTGTAAAAATCGCTCCTAAAGATCGATGAATGATAAATTGACGGCTTTCCCCCAATCTAAGTTCCAAGCGATAGGGCCCGCATAGAAAAGGTTGAAAAGGCATGTAGTCCTATAACGGATGATAATACAGGAACCTAACGTCAGAACACGCGAAATGCACCGCTCTGTACCTGCGACATAACATGTATTTCGTTAGCGAGTTCAATTTCTCTAAAGGCATTTTAAACAACGCTGTTACTTCAGTTAAACACGAAAAAAAGCAGATAATTAATAGCTATAAAAGTTAAATGCAATGTTGTATTTATTTCACTTTTGCCAAACTTTATTTTATCGATAAATCGACAAAATAATTAAAATTCAACGAAAAAGAACACTTCTATCGTATATGAAACATAGATCAAATGCAAACTTTAAAAAAATAACCTTCAAAGCGTTGCGTTTACAACCGTCATATCAGTGAGCTTATAACCATTTAAGATAGGGAAGTACACAAAACACGAAAATCGTAAATGGTATTACGATAAAGCGAGCGAACATTATTCATCAGAGTTCACCTAACGCCCGCCTGGCGGAATAAACTTGTTAAACACATCGTAACTCTTAACAAGATTACCTGCAAGAAAAGACAATGGCATTCTGCGCTAATTGAGCGATAATATTTGATATATCTAAATAGAATTAAATCAATTACACATTTATAAGCCTTAATAACGTGTATTGAAATATATAAAGAATTTGTTCAAACATTCTGTAACTGCATACAATACATAATTATATAACAATTTTCTAGTTTAGTTTTTATAACTTCAATTTCCCGTTACGTTTAGGTTTTTATGAGGCCGCTGATGAAAAGCTGAATCTCAGCGGCGCGACGGAGACGCGGTCCGCGCCGCGTGCCAAACTCACAAACCAACCTTACTCTACCAATCTTCGATTTGTTCGGAGAGACAATATTTTGTTAAATCAGCGGATGACCCTGAGAATCCGGTCTCAATTGGAGAAATGATATTTTGGTAAAATATTTATCATTTCACCTCCAATAAAACTACACTAAAATCCACCAAGCCAATGGATATACGTAACCGCAATTATTGACGGTTCAAGGAGTGCCTTGGAAGGGATTTGCTTATAAATGGAACAACAACGTATGAGAGTATATGCGCATTGAATCGTAAACCAAAGATTCGAACACGATTACTTGAACTATCGTTTATCAGACTGTTCCGTAATTTCTGGCAATAGCAACATATTCTGCCTCATATCTTATTGCATAGAGGACGAATGATAACGTATGTGATATATACCGAAAGTGGCCAAAATCTATTTAATACGACTATGATCATGCGCTGTTATGGGGGCAAGTCGTTCAGTGCAACCTGATTTCTATCTAATTCGATATCTTCTAATATAAATACAATAATAAAAAAAACATTTCATAGAAACGCGAACCCGCCGAATCCACTAGAGTCGCAAGGGTGACCTTGCCCTAGTACGCTATACAGAGAGCGACTGTGCCCAATAGTGGTATTAAGTTTTAAATCTATTCTCTTTAAAAGATTGTAATGCTTTGCATGATGTTATCTCAAACAACACTCACCATTTCATCGTAGATGGTCTTGGTGTCGGCGGTGCAGTCGTACGCGGCGTCATACGTGAACAGCTTATCCTCGCCCTTGGGGTTGTAGACTTGGACTGCGCCGCGCTCCGGCCACACCTTCACCACCTACACGCCCAAAAAGAAGCATTAACAACGAGGAAACTATTGAAGGAGGAACATGTGGGGTTTCGTCAAGAAATTCTAGGATTTCCACACCTTTTCAATTTCTTTCAACTTTGTTTGCCTTAATTTTCGACCCACCTTCTATACAATATATTGAAGATATTGGAACCACATGTCGGTTATGAATATTTAATTAAACTGTAGAGTTCGAATAAACGTTAGTATTTAGTTTAGCTGAACCAACCACCGGTTAAAGTAGTCCGTTCTAATCTTAGTTATGTAACCACTACGCACTATTTAAAGTTACTAAGCGTTAATCTTTAGTTTCAAGTTTGAATCAAGTACAAAAAAATTAAAAATGATTAAATACACTTGTAAGTTATTCCATACCATACCCATAGGTATTTTACACTACAATTATTTAGTTATATAACATAACTGTTTGCAAAGTGAAAAGTCATCGGAACAACCTGCAAAGTAGCTGACTCTTGTCGTGATATAACAATAACTTTTTCATTCTGTGGCACTTTTTGTAGTCCCAACGGTTCGTACAAAAACATCCAAATGATCATTTAGATCACAAAAAGCCTTTTATAGAACTAAGAGGTAAAGTTTTCAATAGAACGTTCAAGGAACTACCATAAACGTGTTATTTGTTATGACGTGGCAATTTTTACCTTTTTAAACCTTTTTTTAAGCACCAGTTTGGGTTAGTGGCAAAATTAACAAGCCTTAATTCTAAGAATTAACTATTAACATGTCATTAAATAATGCGAAGAAATATTCCTCTCGACTACTTTTTTCGTTTGGTTTCTCTTTTTTTGCTATTATTTTTTTATTTTATCCGAAACTAAATGATAAATATACCAGTTTAAGAAGAATTGGGTGTAAAGTATTTTATATTCCTACACTATTTTTTTTCATATTGAACGCAATTTTTTATTGTTTTAGGTACAATTTACTAGACTAGATAATTTGGTACGTTGCGAACTATTTCAGCGGATGAAAAACAATATGAAAGACGTCATTGGCATCTTTCCCAACAAAGAGCCGCACACATTCCAACAAATTCAGATCTAACAGGCGAAATGAATCGTCGATACTTTTATAACTTTCCTTTATAAATAGTATCGATTCACTTCGCAAGTTAGATCTGAGTACTAAATAGTTTACAAAATGAAACTCTCCCTTGCCAATTCTGAGGCCAAAAGACAAAGCCTTCTTTGTCATCTTTGTGATTTCGCATGTAATGTTCTACATTACATATATAAATACATAATTATTTACATAGGTGCTTCTTAAGATCGACCGCACGCATATTAGCTATTTCACCGGGCGCTCATTATCGCAAGATCGATGCGTTGGGGAACTCTGCAAATAACAAAGCCGCATGTCCGACATGAGCCGCATTGGAAACAGATAAAAAAATAACACGCTACTCAAACAAATCAAAAATTTAAACTGATCACGAAGTGAAAACCTTCACTTTAGTGCAGCTCAAGAATGAGGCAAGGAAATTCAGAGACCCCCAATTCAACCACCACCACCTTTACGTGCAAGCCTTCTTCTAGGTGTGAGTTCCACTTAAATACTAGTTCCGCCTCCCAATTACGCTCATCAGAGCCTCGTCCGACCTGCAAAGGGGCGTCTATCAGTTTGGCGTCGTCCTTCGCGCGTGTCGAGAGCCGCTCGTACCACTTCTGCTCTGGACGCCTCCTTTTTACCTATACATAGTGTTTTCTTACAAAATATTTATGTATAACTGTTTATATTTAAAACATATATTATGTTAAAAACATTTAAAAAATTCATTCTGTGAAAAAAAAATAATAACTGTTATAAGAACATTTACGTTTCGTATACAAATCTAAAACAGTATATGAGCTTTAACTAGTGACAATACCCGAAGCGCATATTCAATACAGAAATAACAATTTATAATTCAAAAAATTTAATTCTGAAGATCTAATAAACATGATTTATAATTTGTAATTATAATCATAATTATAGCAAATCATCCCGGATATGATAATGAGTTTTTGCAAATAAAACTGTTGTAATTAAGTGTAACTATCCTTTGTAATACTTTTGATAATTTTAAGCTCTAGTTATATGCCAACTTGTACCTTTTTGTATAAGGATATATCATCTTAACATGTTTTTTGTTTTATTTCCTAAGAATCTATCGAGTGAGTAATCACGAATACAAATAAAGTAATCGAGAACAAAACAGTAGCCATTGATAATAATCGCTAGCTATCGCCAGAGGCAAAGCGCCGTTAGTCACGGCATCGCACTAAGGCACAATAAATGTTGTTTATAAACAAAAAAATTGGGTGACAAAAGCGTATCGGCAACTACTCAATTAAATAGCGATAAACCGATCTTTATAAATAATAGACAAAATATAGAAAAAGATTCAAATCAGGCCAAACGAGAAAGGGAAGATTGAGGCAAACATTTAAAGGTGTTTTCAAGTAATTTACAACACGTTGCAAAACGAACTATAACATAAAAAATCATACAACTGACAAATCTTTATATTTGTATAACCTCGGCAAAACTGGGATTCAAACTTAGCGAATATATTGCAGCTATACAATATATGGCCCGCATGGATTTAACGCGCAGCCGAATGTTTAATACTATTAGTGGTGTAGGTACTATTAAACGCTATAAACGGATCGAACATACGTCATGATAATGATTATCCCAATTCTAATGGATTACTGAATGAAAACTTTTGCTTTCAATTATTTTTACATAAGTTTAGCATAAATGACGTAGCGAAATGTTTACGTTCATCGCTTTACTTGGGTTAACATAATTTTGCAAAAAAAAAGATTATTTCTATTACTTGTAAACATTTCTGAATTGATACAAGTCTATGGTTACTTGTCGGCCTAATATTGCTGTACATTTTATTCAAATGATTGAATGTTTGACCCTTGTTAAAAAGGTGTTCGGAGTAGGAAAACATGTCAATGTTTCACGTTTTTCGTGCGGCATTTTTCCGACGCGAGCTACTTGCGTATGCTCGCTAATCTCAAGTATTTGCTGCGTGTCCCACAACGAGGCAAGCGGGTAATACGTAAGCGGGCGTCCGTTGCTTTTATTTTCAGCGCGGGCGCGTAAAGCTTCCCGTTGCGCAATGTAAACAAAGCGCACTGCACGCGTCGCGCATTATCGACGCTCGAAGACAAAACAATCGTGTAGACATGCGTGTGCTGCATGAACAATTACTAGACCCGAGTAACATCGTATATCGTGTAACCGAGGGCTCTGGGAACTAACAGCCTGAGGCACAGTCCGATGGATTAACGTAAGCATTGCCGTGTAGTGCGCCTTACCGACGGTGAGGGCGCCGCGACTTATCGATTATCGCCACAGACGCTCGTACTTCCCCAAGTTCTGAGCCCCGTTTGCCCGTGTAGGGTTTATCTGTGGTTAAACATAGGGCCCTGCGAGCTAGCGTCATTTACAATGCATTTTCTTTCTTTTGTAACATCGCAATGGTCAGCGTGCTTATCCTAAATTTCTTTTAAATCGTTTTTCCAAGAAACCCATGTGTTAAATCCAATTGTGAAATAACCACTTCAGTTGAATATTTAAAAAAAACATCGAATAAAATTTGTTATTTTAGAGATATTCAAATAATGCTAGTTATTTACGAGAAGTAAACATACTTAATTATTGGTATAGATTTAAAAAAAATGTAGTCTATGGATCGGGATCAAGACAGTTTCGTATGCTTCGTGAAGGAATATAAATTATAACACATGATAATATATCCATATTTATGATATCATATTATGTATCCAAGAAACGGTAAACCACCGCCAGTTCGTTGACCTGTAGCTAAATTGTTAGGATGTTAGGCATCGGCAATGGGACGGCTCGCTTACAGCGGATGTACCAGAGCTGATCCCAATTTACATCAAGTGTCTAGAGGGGTCAATAACAATTTTTCCATGTCAACGACACCGCGCATCGGACAAATATAAGAATAACAAGAATACGTTTGAAAACCTAAGAACGTATATTATTCCAATCGCAGTACTTCTTCACAGTTTTTAATATATTAATTCCAGGGGTTTTTTGTATTTCGCTGCTGCCATTTCACGACTTTCAACGGCCAAGTGTTCGATGAAACTAAAATAATAAAAAATTTTTCGACGTTCTCGCACATAATACATCGTAGAGTAATCTGCCGTTGTCCGTTTGTGCAATTTGAACATTGATAATTTCTTATTTCACAAGTTAGTTTCTTTACAAAGTAATAAATAATAAGTAACTAAATGGTAGAATTATTGTAATCGGATAATTTTAAAAACGTTAAAAACTCAAGAGAATTAGATTGGCCAGGTCCGAAATTTTGTTTAACTAATTGTCATGACAAATTTACTACAGCAATAAAGCGCAAAGCGCTCTTCGAACTTTTGTGCGCATTGCAATGGAAACGAAGCGAAAAAATGAAGCGGCGACGATCGGCAGCCACCGAGGAAACTTCAACTTGCAACGATATCTCTCATTAGGATAGCCCATCGGTCAAATCGCACACAAACAATTATTTTACTTTATTTATCAGTTCATAAGTAAATATTTTCATCATTTCGCGCATAACGTCAATATCAACATATATGCGGACACTCCATTCATACCTTGTTGATGAATCAATTTCTGATATTTAAATATCCACCCTTGTTGTTGCCATCATTCGACTTAAATGCAAATATTTTCTTTCCCTGCGTCGAACATTGTGCGCGAGCTAGCAATCGCGTCAATTGCACGGCTCTTGCGGTAAAAATACGGAGCACCTTGATGCTTCACCTTGGTACACTCCGGAGTTGGCCAATCTATCATTAGACGGAAACGATTTCAAAATCTCCCGAATCTCAGCGATTTCGGTTTTGGTTCGCGTTAATTCTCCGCTGTTACAATGTTCATGCGTTGCATTGTGCGCATTAATCCCGATAACGTTATGTGCAAATGACTCTCGCTGTAAGCCTGTCGAAGCTCGGGCCAAAAATCCAGTAAAAATATTGTAAAAATTTGGAAATTTTTAATTTTATCGATCAATGATGCATTTGCAATAATGCACGAAATTTTTAATTTTTTTAAAGAGGAAACTTTGAAATTGGATGCTGAATGTTTGACAACTATCCCCAATGTTACATAACTAGAGTGACAGGGGGCAGAGTGGGCTGATGAGATTACCGCGTACTCACGAAGTGGGTCGCGGTTCACTTCGTGCCGTGCGGTATATTGTTTTGTGGTTAAACACAGGTATAAAGTAGGACAATAATTTAAATTGGTGTATTTATTTTCAACGGGTATCTTTTTAAATAGGATGAACTATCCTAGATTATAACGTTGTGAATCTTAGTTGATTAAAATAGCAATTGACATCTTAAGAGTAGGATAGCTTTAATTTGGCAAAAATTAACAACTCCATACGTTAATAGAAGACCGACAGCGGAAGGCACGGGCAATGGTCAGTCAAAACTTTTGATCCAATGTTAAACTGAGCTTTTTCTGTAAGGTCTGGGCAGTCGCTTTGAAACACAACAATAGATTAAATAAAACTTTGCGGAACGAGTTCCTGCGAAGGGATTATGTTGCAACTAGGTCACTCGTCGCTCAGTACATGTTTTCGCCGAATTTAGTGGCTCTTTTTATTGGATTACTCTCTCAACAAATGTTCGTCTTTCATACTCTATGGAGTAAACATTGATTGAGACATAGATGTAATCCTGTGAGTAAGATTTCTCTAATTCCATTGTCTTCCTATTTTCGTTCATAACAGTCGACAAGCGACACTATATGACATGGCAATGACGTAATAAAAACTTTCCGATTAATGTTCCCTTAAAAAAATGTACGCAATGATGAGTTTACGAGAATATAAAGTACATCGTTAAATAAATCTAATTTAAGGATTTATCAGAGGTTTCGGAACGGCGGGAATTATTATCAAAACAAAACGTGAAAAATAAAAAAAAAATTCTATTTCTTTTTATTAAAACATTTACAGTTGTGCTGTCACAACTCAATTCTTTTACTCAAAAATTCAAAGTGAGGGTGAACTATATTACCATATATTAATCATCCATAATATATTGACTTATTAAGGTTTCAAGTGATTCAGAAGTATAGTGATAAGTAAGCACTAAAAACCCAAACAATTTATCTAAACATTTATATTCTTTCAGGGGTGACTATTTAATTATGTAACTCTAAGCTTAAACAGGTTTGAATATTAAGACCACAAAGTTTAATTACTAAATAATGAATCATTTATGTACATTTATTCATCTAATTGCAAATGGATTTATTTAAATTGACTTTATCTTTATAAGGCGTGATGTATTTAAAAATATTAATGTTAAATAAACAATAGGGAAGTGCATACTGCTTTACTATTTATGTAATCCAGCAAATCAAATAATCTAACAGATGAATTAATAATCGTAGGAAGAGAGCAAAGGTTATTAATATAATAGTAAATATTAGAGTTGGCCTACAGATAATAAAATATTGTAGGTGTATTTAATTTTCCTGCCTATTATTTTAAGGTTTTTATGTAGAAATTTTCAATTCTTCTGTCCATATATATTGATAAAGTTAAAACAAGTAAATCTTAGGTAGAAATTGTAAGCAAATTACAAAATACGAATACGAAGCACTTATGCGACGAATGAAAATTCTTAGCCAGCTCAACGTAAGGCTACTGGTACCGTAGTAGTTGTAGTTAAGCAAATATTTACGACTTTATTCATTGATTCCAATTGACGCACCAAGTCTGCGCATCTCCAGGAATGTCAACAAAACAGTAAAGATCTTACCTCCTCATAACCCTCGTTTTTCTCCTTTTCTGAAAGCGGTCGACATCGTACCACCACCTTAACACATTCGTTTAATGCTGTCCGCGGTCTTGCGGACTTCTCCATCTTCAAACACCCCCTTCCGTGACGTAAAAAATAACAAACTCAAAGTCACCGATATCGATCCATTCGGGGTGCACCTATTGTAGACATCACCTGATCGAACTTGTATCGCAAAAAGATATTTGGAACAGATTAGTAAAAAATTACACTATAAATTCTGTTACACGATTAACTATTTAATTCTGCGGTAAATAAAAATAAAATCGTAAAATTTTAATCACAACAGCTCTCATCTAACCGCCTCTAGCGGACATTTATGGGCAACTGACATTTAATCATTTAAATTCATATTGCTTTTGGCTATTGACAATTTGACGTTCACGTTCGGATATTTGTCATCAAACAAAATGTGCATTGTTTTTGGAATTTTAATCGATTATCAAATAACACCTAAATTCTAAAAAGAGAACTCATTTCATTTATACTTAGCTTTTTACTTTTTTGTCTACATACATTTGTCAAGTCACGTACTTAGATCTATGTAATGTCAAGGAACTATTACTTAATATGTATTTAGCTTCTTCAATCTTTAATATTGGAATACTTGTTATTGTGTAGTCTCAAAAGAAAAATAAAAAATTTTGTAATAGTTACATCTACATCTAAATATACTATGCTGTTCTATCTGAAGTTAGAGTTAGTTCTAGTTGTCATTGTCAAACTGTTTGCTGAACAATCCATTTCCATCAACAAGGAAAATGCAAAAAGCTACAAAGCGCTGAAGCTACAGGATAAGTAAATAATGTCAACAAATTTAAACATAGTGCTTAAAAGAGCTAGTAAAATATATCACGAAGGGGTAAATAATAAACCATTGATAAATTCTCAAGTCTAATTATTATAAACCTTGTATTCTAATTTAATTTTCTAAACAATTTAATTCTTTAATTATTTTCAGGATGTTATAGCAGGAGTTGTTGTTGTAGAAAACAGTAATGATGTACGACATGAAGGGCTTACATTGTCAATGGAGGGAGCAGTCAACTTACAACTTAGTACTAAGAATGCTGGTATTTTCGAAGCATTTTCTAACAACATTAAGGCAAGGTGCTTTTGTTTGAGGCATAAATATTAATATCAAAGGCTTTTATACCCAGATGAACAGAATGAGGGTATGATTGAGGAATAAAAAACTATTTATCAGTAATCACACAAACATTAGTATAAATTATCACAATGTGATATAGTAAATGGGTTGTCTTATTAAAATAATTTAAAAATGACATTGTGCAATTTTGAATCACTACATAACTCTTTTAACTTGTTATTCATGTCATGTCATATTTATTATGTAATGTATATTTATCTTCTTCTCCCCAAGAGCCGTGATAGCTCAGTGTCAGGGCGCTAGCCTTTATTTCAATTTACTCGAGCAACCTGTGTTCGATCCCCTGTTCCAGCACCAATGAAGTTTTTGACTTTAAGTGCTGTCTTATCACGTGCTCCATGGCGAAGGAAAACATTATGAGGAAACCTGTATATTTTCGAAATAATAACAAAAAAAATAATATTGTGAAGACATGTGAAGTCTGCCAATCCGCAATGGGGGCCTTGTGGTGGACTATGCCCTGATACAGTCTGTATAGAGGAGGCATTTGACCAGCAGCGGGGCATGTATAGGCTGATACTTTACTTTTCTCCCCTTATTCCATATAGGTGGGGTCTCATTGGCAACACATGTGAATAATTATGTTAATGGTAAGGGGCTTTTAATTTATGACCATAACTATCTGTGAATCCACAAATACTTCTCCAGTGTGGGAATTGAACCCATGTACACCAACACCGAAGTTAATTGCTTAGCAACAGCACCAGTAATTCAAGTATATCTGTTAGGTGTTTGTCCCTGGTAAATTAAAGCAATAACTACTTTTTTCAAATGAGCTTTACCATATTATAATTTTGGATGGTATTTTAATTAAGAAGATGGAGTTTAACCCACCTAACTCATTGTTGACTTTTATATGGTGTTTTGGCCTATATGATCTATGAACTTTGAACTGAGCACTTGAACTTTTAATGAATGATTATAAGGATTTAAGTAAAACTATTATAACATATTTGTACCTTCCTTATTTTATAAGGAATATTTTTTTTATTTGCAGCCTATAACATTAATCAATACAGTAATGGAACTTGTACCAGCCGGTAAAATTCCATTGGGCATAACAAACATTCCATTTGAACTACCATTGAAGGCTCGATACCAATTGCCTGGAGCGCCAGCTGGGTGTGGGCTGCTGGAGACCTACCATGGAGTATTTGTTAACATCATGTATACACTCAAGTGTAACATGAAGAGGTCATTCCTAAACAAACCAGTTAACACTAGTTGCCAGTTCTTTGTGCAATATCACCCGGTAATTTTGGCTTTTGTAATCCTATGTTACCCAAGATGAGCATGCGAATTTAACGTGGATAATGCGACAGCAAGACGCGGCTCCGCGTAAGCCCGTGCGCTGCGAAATCACGCCGAGCTCTGTGCGGCGCTCGGCCACTGGTGGCGCGCGGCCCTCTATGCCGCATTTCCAGATCTACGCAGAGCTCGACACTACCGTTTGCCCCCTTGACCAGCCAATCACAGGCAAGGTGAGAACCTATACATTAAGCTTTTGTTAAATCTAAAAGTATAGAAACAGCCTGTATATGTCCCACTGCTGGGCCTCCTTTGTACAGGGCATAGTTCATCATGCGGCCCCACTGCGGATTAGCGGAAATTACACATCTTCAAAAAATTTTTTTGTTGTTATTTCGAAAATATGCAGGTTTCCTCACAATGTTTTCCTTCACTTCTGAGCATGTGATAAGTAAACACTTAAAATTAACAATTTCATCGGTGCCGGTACCTACCGACGATCGAACTCAGGTGGCTGGAGTAAATTGGATTTAAGGCTAGCACCTGGACGTAGCTATCACGGTTCTTTTCTAATACGCAAATACATAGTTGTTATTATTGCTCCGCAGATTCGCGTGGATGAGTGTTCTGTCCCAATTAAGTCTATAGAGCTACAGCTGGTGCGAGTCGAAACTTGCGCCTGGGATGGAGGTTATTCTAAAGATTGTGAGTTGAGAATTTCTGTACTAGCAACTAAAGTATTTACTGCACGGGGGAATGAAAATTTAAGTTAATTTCCAAACTTGGCTTCATTTTTATTAAATGATATTAACACTATTTGCCAGTTCTTTCCAGAGAAGCCTTATCTCAATGTAACTTATTTAACGTGTCTATAAATTACGTATGACATGTTTACTATACTTAAAGCGAATTTTCTAGTTATTTTTCGGTATTCAGTCTATTCACGGTGTTTTCCCTGAACGTCAAGCAAGTGATAAGTCAGCACTTGAAATTGCAATTAACAACTACATTGGTGACAGCACGGGGATTTAAATTGAGGTTATTCAAGTAGACTTAATGAAACAATAATTAATTTGGATTGGACACTGAGCGTATGGACACACTATTTACGATGTGTTTCATGCAACGGCAGAAGCTTTTATGTGGCACTACCACAGGGAAAATTGTGTATAGGTACTCTTTGTTAGGAAAATCTAATTTTTACAAATACATTTGAACTTATTAGGAACAATTATCTTTTCACATGAAAACTCCCTACAAGGTTTCACTGGATATATTCAAGTATAACAAATATAAGTTTTTTGTCACTGATTATATAACCGTAAAATAAAGTTCAGAATCGTTTTATAAAACTGGCCACTAAAGTTGGTTGGTTTTATAGCAACGTTCGCCGATTGCTGAAGTGAATTTTGATCGATAAGGGCTGTGCTTGTGTTTCGGCAGCGACGGAGATCCAGAACATCCAGGTGGGCGAGGGCGACGTGGTGCGCGCGCGTGACGTGCCGCTGCACATGCTGCTGCCGCGCCTCTTCACCTGCGCCACCACCGCCACGGCCAGCTTCAAGATCGGTAGGGCGCCACCATTTCATTGAGTCTATCTTCGCGATTCAAAGCCTTACATTGACATACCATACAGACTAGTTTCATGAATATTACTTATTAATAAATTAGCTTCCGATATTTGTATTAAATTACTAAAAATTTTTTTATGTCAGAAGATGGCAAGCTCGCAGGCGGGGTTCACATGAGTGATTACCGCCGCCCTTTGACATTTGCTACACCTGTAGGGTTGCAGATGTGCTGCCACCTTTTAATTAAATGGGCCCCAGTTGCCTCACTCACCAGACAAACGCACTTTCAGTTTACAACCTTCTTCTCTGAGCTTATAGTACTAAACTGAATGGACTTCCCGTTCATGCAACAGCGAAGACTGTTGTGTGGCCCATTTAATTACTACCTACCACACTAATAATCAATTACATAAAGAAAACTTGTGTCACCTAGGTAATTTAAATAAATGTAAAATTAATTCTCTTCCTTTTCAGAATTTGAGCTGAACATTGCAGTCATCTTCGAGGATGACTACTTGGTGACTGAGAATTTTCCAATTTTGCTCTTAAGGAGCAGGTAGCGGGAAAAACTCAAAGCTCTGCTTGTGCCGAGATCCGCTTTATACACTGTACTGTACTGGCTGTGCCCAAAAAGTACAGACTTCAGCATCCGAATCATGTATGACACCACTGTGAATGAAACAAATATTGTTATAAATAATTTATTTGAAGTTTTTCAAATAATTTTCGAGTACTGCACTTTATATGTAACTGTTAATAACAGCACAACAAATTGGAGAGAATTAATCCAGGTATCTAAATTTTTTAAATTCAAATTCTTCTTTTACAAAAATTCTTCTTTTACAAATTTGTTTAAAAACATAGCATATTATCTTTAATGCTTTTTGTTAATATATCGCCTTTTCATGAATTACTGCTGAAGAATTTTGACAATTGTGGAATAAATTATATTAGAAAAAAGAATGATGTATTTTTTTTTAATTATTTGACATATTTATTTCTTATAAAATATATTCAGTATACCTTGTCACATCCTTAAAAATATTGTGTCTATTGAAAACATACAGTTTCACACGAAACAGAAATATTTAATAGTTCCTTCTTTATTGTGGGAGTGAGATTACCTCACTCCCACAATAAAGTAGGAACTGTCTTGGTGAAACTAAACTGAACTGAAATGGTCTACTGTTTCACATTTTGTATAGCATTGGAGGCGCCTTATATTTCATATGCGAAATGGGTAGCAGAAAAGATGTAAAGAGATAAGCACAGTATTTTTTTAGATCTATTCTAAAAAAATACTATGCTTAAGAAAGAAATTTAATTTTAGAAATTGTGAGTGACTACCCGTAGGAACCAACTCTTAGAAAATTTTGGATGATAAGGTAACTTCAACTATCACTTAACATCGGGTGCTTAGTGATTTTTAAAGGTACTTCTTCAACTGCTTGTTGGCATTGTGTTACATATAAAAACATGAATGTTATGTGTGTCTGACTGATCTATAAAAATATTGCATTAAAAATCATTAAAAGCTCTGATTTGAATGTCTGCTTTTAATACATTTTAGTAATATGTATTAAAAAGTTATTATTCCAACAGGCTAGAAACCGACTTATAATATTTTACAAGTATTGAGACCAACATTTTTAATTAAAATATTTCACTTTTTGATTTCCTTTTACTAATACCTGCAATAATTGTATAGTTAATAATTAATTCCTTAAGGTTCTTAAGCTGTAATGTTGAACAACTTGAAAGTTCTTGAAACTAAAAAGTATTGAGCTATTTGTTCATCTTCAACTTAATTTCTACTCCTATCAAATGATTAAGATGTACTTACGAAATGTTTTAATTTTCTAAATTCGCATTTTTAATTAAATTTTTCTACAAATAAATGTTGATAAATAACAAAAATAAGCATTTTGTTATTTGGTTTAATTGTAAAAAAGGAATATTTTTAATTCCTTTTCCCAAAATAGTCATTTGCTCTTCATCTGCTTTGGAAGTGTCCTAATATGTAAACGTGTAATAGTTCCTTGCGGGAAATATATATTATGTGATACATACTTATTCCTTACTAGTATGTTTCCACCCCTATTTTAATTATTCATTTAATTATTTTAAAAAGAGCAAATGCACTTTCAATAAATTTCGTGTAGCAAATGAGAGTTATTGAGGTTACCGGGCTCACAGCCGGTCGGGCTCGTCGTCGTCGTCGGCGCGCGGCTGCATGTAGTTGCGGCACAGCCCGAAGAAGCGCAGCGGCCGAAGGTTGCGCTTGATGGCGTCGAACCTGCGGGGTGGGGCGGTGGGGCGGGGTGAGTTCGGCGGTGGGGGTGCGGCGGGGAGGGGGCGGTGCCGGGTGCGGGGGTGGGGGTGGGCCTCACCGCCAGCCGAGGTGCGTGGCGCAGGAGCGGCACACGGCGATGGTCCACGCGTAGCCCGGGAACCACGAGTAGTCGGCCGAGGGCCTGCCGCTGAGGCGCGTGTTGGACGCGCGCGACACCGTCACCACGTCGTGCATGTAGCCGCCCAGGTTGGTGAAGTTGGCGTGCACGCCCTCGCTCGACATGGCCAGGATGTGCTCGCGCCGCGCCACCTCCGACATGCACGCCGCGCAGCAGAGCACGCTCTTCTGCGGGCGGGAGGGGCGCTGTAGTGCCACGGCCCGGGGGAGGAGGGGCCGCAGGGGGCGGGGGGGGGGAGCGGGGCACGCACCCGGGCGATGAAGCGCAGCGCCATGTGCAGCCGCAGCAGCGCGTCGTCCACCTTGAACAGCGCCAGGCGGTCGCGCGCCGACAGCGCCAGGTTGGAGGCCACCCAGAACGACAGCGACACCGGATCGTCGGGCAGCCGCTCTGCGCAAACCACTCTCATTCTCTCGCGACCCTCTCACTCCCAACACCTAACCAAAGTCGCAGTCAGGCAACGTTCAAGGCAAGCGTTCGTGCGCATTTGTCCGATCGAATCAGTCTTTTTCGGAACAATCAGATTCCGTCGATACGAGCGTAGACAAACCTGGCGGGATGAAGTGGAAGTGGTCGCGCAGGAGGTCGCGCACGCGCTCGTAGCCGAAGAGGTCGTGCAGGAAGAGCGGCCAGGGCGTGAGCGCGGCGCGCAGCTGGCGCAGCGGGCGCGGCGGGCGCGGGGCGGGTCGCTCGCGCGCCGCCTCGGGTAGCACGCGCACCTCGGCGGGCCGCATGCGCGCGAACGCGTGCATCGGCTGCGCGCGCTCCACCAGCCGGAAGCGGTGCGTGGCGCGCGCCTTGAACGTCAGCGCCGCGCCCTCCGCGCCCGCCGTCTCCCTCTCGCTCACCCTCGTCTCGAACACCTCGCACAGCACGCCGTAGCCCGACACCATGGTGCCGCTTTCGCTGCCACGGTTCGGACATCTACTGTGAGCCGTTTGCGATCGTTTTGCCGCGAGCTCGCGATGAGCGTGTACGTACTCGGGGAACAACAAGCCGAAGAGCTTGTCCTGCGCGATGAGGCGCGAGACCATCTCTGCGTCGTGCAGGCTGGAGAAGAGCAGGGGCACGGTCTCGCCGGGGAAGATGGCGCCCGTGTGCGCCGTCACCGGCACGCGCCCCCGCCAGCCCGCCTCCAGCACCGACCGCCTTCGCACCGCTACGAGCCCCGGGCCCATGTACTGATGGAAAAGCAACACTCGATATGTCTCCCTTCATATATAAATTATTATATAGCATTCGCAGACGATGCAGCTATTACTTTCAATCAAACCATATAGCCTGCAGCAAGTACTATAATGCGATTCAAATAAGAATAGGACTGACCTCGCACTCGTGACGTCATAGCTATCATCTCAAATCAGTTAGGTAGGATTAGCAAAACAGATATTTTTGATATAATATTTATTTACAAATAAATTTTGTATTTAAAGATTTTAATCAGAATCATCATCATCACTGCTGTTTTTCCCTATAAAATACAACATGTAGTTATCTAAAATATCCCACAGACTTATATAGAAGATTTAATAGGCATTATACTCCCTGTCTTTATAATAAAACTAAAGTTATTGTTGTAATGTTCTTCTTTGCTGGCATTCATTTTCAATTTATTTGATGTTGGTTGTAATAATTGTGTCTAATTTTCTGCCAATCCTCAGTGTAGAATCGTCTGCCAATCCTCAGAATAGTTAAAGAAATTGTCAAGTTAATTAAAGTTAAAAATTTATTTTATTTGCAAGCCATACTTTTTAAATAATTGTCAAAACAGATTGCCGTCATTTGAAGTCATTGACATTCCTTTTCGTATTTGAAACATACTTTAAAGGTTGAACAAGGCTTAGGTCTTTTAAGGGTTCCGTACCTAAAGGGAACTCTATTACTAAGACTCCTCTGTCTGTCTGTCTGTCCCTCTGTCACCAGGCTGTATCTCAGGAACCGTGATAGTTAAACAGTTGAAATTTTCACAGATGTATTTCTGTCGCTATAACCACAAATACTAAAAAACAGAATAAAAAAATATTTAAGTGGGGCTATGTGGGATACAACAGACATGATTTTTTTGTCGTTATTATAGATGATGGTACGGAGCCCTTTGTGAACGAATCCGATACGCACTTGGCTGATTTTCATTTATTCTTTAAATCTCAGCTACTGTAGAGAAAGTAGGTTTTTTGACACATATATATATATATACATTTGCATGTAAAACATATATCAATTTAACTTTCAAAGTAACATTGCAAGCTTATCATCTGAAATAAGAGACATTTTTATTATATTGTGAGGTTATTAATACAATGCTAGTACAAATGAGGTGTGTCATAACAAAAACTGATATATCACATATTACATTTTTTCTGGAAATTAAAATATGAATAAAGTTTACTTGTTTATAGGACTTGATAACACTATTTTGATATTGAAATCACAGATTTATGTGTGCAGAATGTGATGAAAAAGTTAAAGAAACAAAATGGATTTATCAATTTTTGACCAGACTGCGGATATGTCCTTTTTTAACATTGTATGTTTTTAAATACATTCATTTTAAATCTCTCATTCATTCTAGTTTCTTATAAAAAAATTCTAGATGTTTGACATTCTCTAAACTCCAATCTTTACCCAGGGTTATGGGTTTGTCAGTTTTCAACCAATCAAATGCATGGCCCATGAAAATTTATATGGATTTGTCGGTGTATGTTCCAATCATGAAACAATTCAATTGATTTATCGGTTTATGTTCAGGCTAGTGTGTTTTGAAATAGCTTTTAAAGATGATTTAGTTGTTTATTAATACATTTAAAGCAAGATGGTTATACAGAGTATCTTTACAATTGTGACAATAAATGAACACACATATAGAGGATAACTTTATAAAATTGTATTAAACATTTACATTCTTTAAATATCAATATTTACCGAGTTATTAAATTTTCTTAAATAGAGAATTTTAGAACACCCTTACATATAAAACTGTAACGTAAAGTTCATTTGTAAAGGTCACAATGCATATGAATGGGTTGATGAATTTAAAAGAGACAAAACATATTGTTAGAAGGAGAGGCTTGCAAAGCGACAATGTAGCAACAAATGAAAAGGTCTCAATGTATGAATCAGTCAGTTGAAGTTGTATAGGTGTTACAAATTTTGTTTCTTTTTTACTTAATTAGTTTGTTTGAAAAATATTTTTTTTTTCATTATGGATTTTTTTAACATTAATATTTTTTAATGATTATTGGCAAGTAGCGTTAGACGTGTGTTCATTTCGCGGTGTTAACGACACACTGTAGATATGTATGTAAACTGCCGATTGCCATACTTAACATAAAAAACTGTTAAAATGTGATTTATCAGATTTTTATCTGATGCTCCTCAAATGCCTATTCTACATCCTGCATCATCTCAAATTAACTTGCATTGAAGCATTAAAAATTCTGAAGCTATCAATCCTTTTATAATTATGCTAAAAAACTCACTGTATATTATAATTCAAATATCTATATTAGTTCAGAAATAAATTTCCTGAACTGCTGATCACACACAACTGTAAAATCTAAATTAATACTATTATTAATAATATTATCAACTTTTTATAACTGAGCTTTTATAAGGTATCACAAAAAGAGATTTACATTTTGTAACATTTGAATTTGATGACAGCTAATATTGCATTTGTCTTAAATATTAATAACTAACAATAAAGATTAGTTGCGTTCTTAAAGATTTTGTGAAATTCAATAGGTTCAGGTAAAAATTGCATATAATAAAAGATGAGGACGTACTGAATGTGTTGCAGCTAGAGATTTATCAAATTGTATCTCTTCCTCATCAGATCCTTCTTCAAAGTCCACATCACCACCAGCGCCACTGCTAATCTCATTCTGATCATCTTCGCCTTCGCTAGCTAATAAATAAATAATGGCAGTAAAAACCTATATAATAACAAGTATTACATTGTTTAAAATTACTGAGATTTTCCTCCAATTTGAAATACGTACGATTATCGTCCATGATTCTGCGCAACAGCTCTCGCAAAAGCGCAATTTTGAACTTGTTTTGTTTGTATTAATATTTAACTGATATAGGTTAGCTAACTAACTTGTCAATGTAAGTAAAATAAAAACATTTTGCGGTATGCACAACATTTAATGATGAGATATTTATTTCCCTAAACTGTATTTATTTCAGTATTTACATATCGACTGTATCAAACCCTAATTTTTTTTTTTAATTACATTGATTAGCTCCATCAAGGATAGCTTGATGATTCTGCCAATGTCATGGTTGAATAAAACGGACTGTTATTGATAAAATTTCTTATAGTGATGACTTTTGTACGGTATTTAGCACATCATACTTTATTGGTTGACATACCTGAATAGAAACTAAACTTGTTAGTAGATGAATAAAAATAAGTGAGAATGACTAAAATGATAAAGGCGACACAAACAAGTACAAGGAGGCGAAATGGAAATGTTAAAGCTTTATATCATTAACACAAAATAATTTACGTAATAATTTTATTAAGGAACTTTGAGGGAAGGATATCGTATATGGGGACGTTAAGATTTGGACATGAAAGAAACATGTGTTCCAGAGTACCCTCTGCTAAGCCGCACTGACAAAGGGAGTGGTCCAGTATGCGCAGTTTAGCTAAAAACACTGGGGAACAAACATATCCTAGACGCAGGTGAATTATTACAGAAGTAATTAATTTACTAAAAGACTTGTATTTGGAAAACCAAGGCCTTGATCAAGCCTAATATCCCATATATTAGGCTGGATACTGGCATAGAATCTCCCTTTCACAGTTTTGGTTTGTTGCCACAAATTATCCCAAGTTTCCATTAAGTGAGGTTTGGCCATAGAGCACAGATCGCGAACTGGAATGCTAGAGTGAGAGGTCGCCTATCGTAACAGCTTGTTTGGCTTAGTAATCAGCCGCTTCATTACCCAGAATACCCACGTGGCCTGGAATCCAGGCTAGAACAGTTTCAATACCCTCTCTTTGTAACTTAAATAATGTTTCTTTTATATTAAGAACAATTGAGGAGTGGCGTTTACAGTGGAAGGGAAGTTTGTTTAAATCCTCCAGACAATTACGATAGTCACTGAGGATCAAAGTCTTACGAAAATGGGATTGGTTAGAATCTGTATACTTGACTGCTTCTAAAATGGCTACTGATTCACCTGTAAAAATTGAACATTCTGAAGGACATTTAAAACTCAAAACTACACTGTACTTTGGTATATAAACGGACGCACCAATATTGAAGCATCTGTGAATATCAGAACCCAATTCGCCCATTTATTCCTCACAAGCAAGTTAAATTTCCGGTTAACATCTAAGGTATTCTTGTCGATGCCAATGTTCAAAATAATATTAGGATTAAAAATTAAAGCATCATAACTGATAGGAAAAAGAGGGTGATTTTCTAAGCAGAGAACAGAGAAATGAGAGGAATTATATCTATTATAACTATTTACTAATAAAGGATGGGATTTGTTTGACCAATAAGGAAAGGAGTTAATGGAGCGAAAAATGAGACTTAAGGATTTTAAAATGGGATGAGAGGGGAACTGAACAGCTTTGGAGAAAAATCTTTTAGCAAGAAACTGTCTACGGAAGTTTAGAGGAGGTTCCAAGCACTCCACTTGGAGGGCATTAATAACAGATTTCATGGCCCCAGTAATTATATGCAAGCACTTAGACTGGATTTTGTCAAGTTTACCAAGAGCCAGCTTACTGCAAGGCTCCAAAATGAAACAGCTCTAATGAAAGTGGCAACAAATAATCGCATTGTAGAATTTTTTGGATGAAAGGATGAGAGCCCCAACGAACTCCCGATAAGGGTCTGAGGACATTGGTGTTTTTCTCACACTTAGAATATATATACTGTAAATGGGGAATACCAGTCATGTTGGAATCAAGGATGACTCCCAAAAAATTTGCTCACCATCTAGAGATAAATGCAATAGGGGAATATTCCGTTTTCGACTAAAAATAACTGCATAGGATTAAGCAATAGACAGACTTAGACCGTGATCTTGAAGCCAATCATTCAAATAACCGAAGGTAGTTACTTGTACAGTAGTTACTTGAGAACATCCGTTAAACAGGGAGGAGCAAGTTGTATACAAGGCTATATCATCTGCATATTGTAGGATTTTGCAGAAGCTGTAGACAGATAAGTCAAGATCAGCAGTATAGAGATTGTATAGGAGGGGACTTAGGACTGAGCCTTGAGGAGACCCTTCCAAACGAGATGGGAAGAAAGGAGGGAGCCCTGACAGCAGGCACAGATAGAACGACATGTAAGTAAATTAAAGATAATGTTAATCAGCCTCACGGTGATATTCAGATTTAGCATTTTCTGCCTGAGTATTGGAAGCTGAACATTATCATAATCAGACGAGATGTCAAGAAGGACCCCAATAACATGCTTATTATGAGAAAATGCAAGTCTTATATTAGTTGATAGGATGCCAAGACTATCCATAGTGCTCGTACCACGTCTGAAACCAAATTGATTGTTTGAGAGCAGACCTCTATTCTCAAGGATCCACTCTAATCTATTTTTGATCAGATGCTCTACGATTTTGGCCATAACAGATGATAAGGCAATAGGCCGATATGATGATGAGTCACTAGGGTCTTTATTGGGTTTTAAAACTGGAATAATAATTTGAGTCTTCCATGACTCTGGAATGCATCCAGAAGAAAAAAATTCGTTTATAATATTAAGGAAAAATAATTTTGACGAACTTGAAGATTTTATAATGTCTTATTTATAATGTCTTATGGCATTCTACTTTGGGGAAGTTCAGCCGACATAAATACTATTTTCATCCTGCAAAAGAGAGCTATTCGAGCGGTTTATAACCTGGGCCCCAAAGACTCACTAAGAAACCTGTTTAAAGAAATAAAAATATTGACTGTAGCTTCTCAGTACATACTTGCTAATGTTATGTATGTCCACAAAAATAAGAATGACTTTTCAAGATTTAGTAATGTGCATGATGTAAATACTAGGAACAAGCATAAATTAGTTCTACCCTCAACTAGATTGCGTAGAATAAGTAAATCTTTTATGGACAATGTTACGCTTTTAAAACAAAATCCCAGAAAACGTTCAAAATGAATCCGTTGCTAAATTCAAAAAACTTGTAAAGAAACGTTTGTGTGTTAATGGCTATTATAGTATTAGTGATTATATAAATGATAACACACTCTGGAAATGAATTGATCGCTCCAGGCTCTTTCAAGTGGAGTTTAATAATTGTACACATATTTGTAATTTTTTTGGCAAGTAAAAAAAATAATGTCCCGCTGAGTTTCTTACGCCGGTTCTTCTCAGGTCAGTGGCTTACCTTCCGAACCGGTGGTAGAGTTTTTTGACTATCAATAAGTAAGTGAATGTTTCTATATTGAATAAAGATATTTGACTTTGACTTTATTATAAAAGAATAAGATATAGCGTCAACGCCTGGAGAAGAATCTCGAAGATTATCAAGGGGCACAGCAGAGCTCAGAATAGGAAAAAGGGTGATCCATTCTGTCAAATGGAGAAGAAAGGGAAGGAGGGAGGGGAAAGCAATCATGGGAAGGAACAAATGGAGGAGCTAACTTATCGATAAAATCGTTTAGCCAAACAGAAGAATCACTGGGACAGATGTTTTGGTCAGCGAAAACACCACGGAAATGTGAAATTTTGCGCCATGCTACAGTCATAGAGGAACAGGGGGATAACGACTCGAAAATCTAAGCCACCCCTGAGACTTCTTTCCTTCTGCCAAAATTCTTTTTGTTTTGGCACAGACCTTGCGAAAGAGAAGAAAGTTCTCTAGCTCAAATCATCCGCATAAGCCTTCTCAGCTTGATTTCTAAGTCGAACGGAAGTAGAGCACTCCTAATCCCACCATGGGGGTATGGAATCTTCTGCTGCTGTGATGATACAAGCGACATAATCATTACATAAAGATAAGAAGTTATCAGGATTGGCAGGAGGAAGAAGGCTAATTTTGGAGTCTTAAATTTCAGAATACTTATCCCAGTCAGCGTCTGAGATTCTAAAACGTTGCAAAGGTGGAATCTTAGGAGTGGGAGGTGAAAATTGTAGAAGTCTTTTAAATATAGGAAAATGATCACTGCCATATGAGTTATGAAGTACTGTCCAAGAGAGAGAGAGAGAGTTTATTAGAGAGGGGGATGAAAGTGTTAAATCAGGAGCATTCTCATTTTGACCAGGAGGAGTCCTTCGAGTTGCAGATCCATCATTTAGAATGCACAAATTGTTATCATCTAACAGGTCAAGGAAGAAAGAAGAGGAAGAATCTGAATAGTTTGAGCCCTACATAGGATGGTGACAGTTAAAGTCACCAGAAACTATGAGGGGACCAGGGATAGGAGAGAGTATGAAGTTTAGTTCAGAAATCACAGAACAATTGGGATGAGGGATGTAACATAATATGAATGTAAGATTTTTAGCTTTAACCGCCACTATGTGCAAATTACAGCTATGGGAAGGGATAAGGATCTGGGAGAAGACATGATAATCTTAATAGATTTTTGCCTTGCATGTTCTGGGCATTTGTCATCAGTAGCTCTATGATTACTACTACACAAAACACAAACTTCAATATTAGAATCATGACAGCTATCTCCAGTATGTCCCTGTCCGCAACGGTAACATCTGGGCTGAGATCGGCACTGTGATGAAATGTGGCCAAATCTACAACAATTCCTACATTGAATTGTTGGTAGTTGATAAGTGGAGACTGGAAGAGCAGAGTGATAACAAAATACTCTCTCTGGAAGAGATTGAAACCCGAAAAGGTGAGAACTACAGCAGTTGAAGGGACCCATGTGACTTTATCATCTACTCGGATTTTAGTATTGAGATGACAAGCTTAAATAACTTCCCCACATTTGGAGGGAATTTTAATATTTTCAATTAGCTCTTCTAATGTCCAATCAGTGGGAATGCTTGTAACAACACCCATACGGGTAATGTTAAATCTAGGGATAACTGCTTTAAAATTATTTGTAGACAGACAGTCATGAGACATGAAGTTATTAGCTGACAAATTAGTTTTAAATTCAACTGATATTCTATTTCTTCCCAATGCTTTTATACCACCCTGCGCAATGCCAGAAACTTTTGATTTGTGTAAAGCTGAGTTGAGCAAATTTCAATACTCTAATAGACTGACCAGAGGATAAATCGGGAACAGATCTTGTTATATGAACGATAAAGGGACCCTTGTCCTGGTCAGTGAATTGTAAGTAGTACTGAGTCAAGTTCATAACATAGAGGGCGGGACAGTTTTTTTTCCTTTCCAGCATCTCAACGATTTCAGCCCGGCGCTTGCGATGTACATTAGTTATTGAGAAGTTGGAATTAGAAACTGTAGATGCGGATGAGGACGAGCTATCCAACGAAATATCAGAAGGAAGACCGCTACCTCCATCCGGAGGCTTGTCTTCATCCATGTTCTTCATAAAGAAGAAAAGGCGGGTCTAAATGTTAACAGACTTGCCAATTCACACAAAAACCTCCACCAAACTCTCACAAAATATATAAATTCAGGATTTCAATACAAAAAAGTAGGAATAAGATATTGTTTACATCAACGCTTTGACAAGCAGAATTCAACCCAGCGTGACTAGATTTCATTTGACGAATCTACTGCTTGTCGAGGTTAAAAACTACTGAATTCTACCAAAAGAGAACGAGAAAACAAAAATCATAAATCTAGTATATTTTTTGATTTGATTAAACGATAAAGTAATAAAAATAACGAAGAAACCAATGTTTTTTTTTAGTTAAATTCTAAATAAAAATATAATTAAAAAAATAAAATTAAACTTAAAGTTAAGATTTTTCACCTTTATGTATGATCATACTTCTGTCACGATCAAATCTCCTACACCCTCCTTCCAACTGACCCGTCGTAACCCTTCTTTTCCATGCATTATTGCATGCAGCATTGTTATTATTACATCGATTTCGATCTTAATTTTTAATCCTATTAATATCGGAAAATATTCTTTCTACTTTGGCGTTTGCCAAAGGTAGTATCGTCATTTGCTTCACAAATGGGGACAAATTGCCATACTTTGTTTTGCATTGCTATTAGCATCACAGATTTGGCTGATATCACTCCAAAATGTATCCACCAAAAACTTCAGACATCTAACAAGCAGTTGACAGTGAATGTTTTTTAACATAATACAGGTTCACACTACTGCGTAAGTCGAAAGTATTAATAAAAAGTCTTAACAAGAATAATTAACTAAGAATTACATTCCACATATTAACGTTAGTAACTTGCATACCTGAGAAATGCCGGAATATCCTTTCATATTTTTTATATGCTTTGATGTAGCCATGTGTTCCTTCAACGACGTCAGTCTACTTAGTACTTCACAGTTGCATGCTTTACAATGAGCACTCGTAGTGTTTACCTTAGATTTACATAACCAACTTTTAAATGAGGGATGTTGCTCTCATTCATCGCGATATCCTTGTGTATATTTAAGTTTCATTTTAAACTCGATACAAAAATTCTCAATAAAGGAATTCCCACTAGTCTTTCACACTCTATGCTCACGGCACGAATCAAACGACCAAAAGAATGAAAATTAAATAGTTACAATCCATTCTATGAAAGGGGGAATACCCCGCTTTTATATAAAAGCGATAAGCCAAAAAAGTACTAGAATAACTGAAAAGCGTGAATTCTACTAAAATATACCAAATAATTTTTACATACTAAATTCTGTTGTCACTACCTCAAAATCTACCAATATAGTAGAAGTCTACTAAATCTGGTCACGCTGATCCAACCCCTAGTTGTAATATTTTGGATTTGAGTTTGACACATATCTGTTTGGTTTTGTTTACAAAGTTAGTTAAAATAAAAGTGATTCGTTTTATTTTGCAAGGTATTATATTTATGAGATATTTAATATAATCATAAAACCATATAATTAAAAAAATATTTTCAGTTATATATTCGGGTCCGTCTTTTTTATTCTTAAAAAGTATATAAATTATATTTATTAATAACAATCAGTTGAAGGTACGACTGATAACTTATTTAAGATACTACACTGATATTAAAAAACTATTTCGAAAGTTAAAAATATATTGCTTTATTAATATGAAGCCCTTGCCTTGTCTTTATTTGAGCATCGCGCTTGCAATGCACAAGATAAGATAGCGCGTTAGAGAAATGTAATACACCCAGTGCTTTGCTAATGTTTAGTATAAAAATGTGTCGAAAAATTTTGTGGTACTATATTCTCATATTGACAATACTGGATACTTCGCTGAAAAAAAAATTGACAGCCCAGGGAAAGAGCAATGGTATAATCGATTTATTTACACATTTGTATTAATGAATTTAAATAAATCTTGAAATTAATGTAATTTAACTCTGCTATAAAAGCAATGGCTTCCAGAATCACACAAGAGTTAGGAATGTTAATGGAATGTGTTGCGGGAGAGGCGTCATGTTATTTTTGATTTGGGCCAGGCTTATTTGTCGTTTTCTTACGATTCACATTTGTGTAAGATTGTAGTGCAACTCGGCTCGCATTTGGTTATGACGCATCTGCAACACATGTTCTTTATTACTGAAATTTATATATTTAACTATCGCTCTAATATTTACAAGATTAAATCTATCTAAAATTACATATTATCTAATAAACCTAATCCGCGCGGCATGGTGCCAAGAACACTAGCTGCATTTCCTCGCTGAATAGTTATGCTTAACCTTTGAGCGAGAAAAGATCCAGCTCTCTTGTCACCAGCAGCGGCGTTAGGCCTAGGACATAAACTTATAAAAAATTTGCATGTGCGGGGCACCCCACGGACCTAAAGTTTCCACGGCAAATGGCACAAATACATAATCTAAACATAAAGACCAATATTTGCGCCTTTTACTTACTTCAGCTGCCTCTGATGCCGCCCGGCCCTGACCGAAGTACCCCTTAGATGACATAGATAACCCTTTATTACTTAATTTTGGGTCTCATGCTAATGTCAGTACACCAATATTTATTTTCAAACTAGATTTAAATATTTTTATCATTGAAATGATTTAAAAATTTTTGAAAACTAAAAAAAAACTATCAATGTATTCTTATAAAACATTGATTGAAAACTCATGGACACATCTTCTTTTCAGGTGTCCCATTACATCATTCCGTTATAGAGGGAATAAACTTTCAGGTAAATATCATCTTATGTAGGAATTATTATTTTGTCTAAAATTTGTAATGTAAAACATGTTACTCACTTAAGCTAGGCTTATTAAATATATCTAAACAGATGTGATAAAGTTTTTATAATAGTTATGTTTTAAAAAGATTAACCAAGCTTGTATCACATACATAAAGAGCTTTCTAAAAACAAATTATTTTTTTAAAATAATTATTAAATGCCTTTTTATAAGACAAAAGCATATATCCTCCAAACATCAGTAGAAATGATTCAGTAGTAATGTATAATATTAAAGTATTCTATGTTTTTTAATTAACTGCTTTTATGTCTATTTCTCTGAATATTACATATCATATATTTACTTTATGTGCATTTAATATTTATATAGGTTCACAGCTGTACATAATATTGTGAATATTATATTTAAAAAAATTTAGAACAATAATTAATGCTGAGCACAATGCTAATGGATATAGTTTATTTAGGGATTTTTGGGCACAGAAACCTCTATTCACTCAAGCAACATTTATTTATTTTATTAAAATTTGTCATGATTAAATAAAAAAAATTAGTATGATGCTATAATACTCGTGTGATTGTTATAGGATCACTAGCTGACCTGGCAAACATTGTTTTGTCATATAAATTATTTCTAGGGAATTTGTAGGGTAGAAAAAAATGTTTGGGGTCCTTATCACTTAAGGGTATGAAAAATAGATTACGACCGATTCTCAGAGCTTCCTAATATACATAAAAAATTTCATGAAAATCTATCAAGGACATTGTGACACGAGAATTTTATATATAAAGATTGTCACCCTTGGAGTATGTGCGTGTAATGAAGAGCTGTGGTATTATGGAGTGCGTCGTACGCAAATAGGAATGGGGCAGCGAGCCGGAGATCGGGGGGTCCCCGCCGGAGGGCGTCTCGCTGGAGCCGGCGGCGCTGCAGTTCGGCGCGGCCGCGCTGGCCACGCCACACGTGCGCCTCGTCACCATCACCAACACCGGCAACGGCACGCTGCACCTCGCCTCGCTCGCCGGCACCACGCCGGACTTCCACGCCTCCTTCTTCGAATCAAAGGTGGCCGTCCTGTCGCGTCCTTTAAGCCCAACCGTGCTAAGGCCACACGACGGTTTCTGTCGTTGCAAGTACCACGAGGGCGAGTACCACGACCACGCTGAAGACCGGCCTTATGGGGAAGTGCCACACGTCTGCGTTTCGTCTCGTGGGTGAGGTAGGCCGGTCCCGGTAGACCGGTTAAAAGGTGGGGCGACGCATCTGCAACCCTACGGGTGTTGCAAATATCCATTGGTGGTGGTTATCACTTAAAATCAGGTGAACCGCCAGCTGGCTTGCCAGCTTCTCACATTAAAAAAATCAACTCCCATGCGGGATGGACTTTTACACTTTTTGTTAGGCCCCGCTCACTGCAAACTACAGTAAATATATGCGATGTCCACTGAATGTTAGAAGTTAATGTTTAAATGACCAAGCCTTGCAGTGCAAAATTCGAATCGCTCGTCAATTGGCGTACGTACCATGGCCTAACAGGACACCAACGTGAAATTATGCTGGCGTTAAAGATGTCCATGAGCCTTGGTAATCTCTTTACATGAAGTAAATTGCCGACTCGACTGTCTCTCATAAAAAAGTGCAGTAAAATAACGCTTATACGCACATATACATAGATAATTCTACTTTACAAATAATTTTCAGTAATAGCCGACCGGAGTTCATACTTAAGGATTTTAAATGCCAGAGGCGTGCTCCAATATATATTATATTATTAAAAAAAATACTGTTAATATTTTTTTCTCGGTCTATTGCGAAATACGTCCATTTATTACAACCTTGAAACCATAATCACAACTTTGAAACTATATACATTTAAGGTTGTCAGTCCACCCCGATGGGGTCAAAGGATGATTGTCGCATCTGCTACTGAAGTTAATACATCAATACAACACTTCCTTTCGGTCGGGCGAGGGTCCTTTGCGAACTTTTATCTGTTGCAAAATAATATTGTCATTAAAATCTGTTGCTTAGGTTTATTTTCTGACTATAATACAAGAAAGGTGAAGATTTTACCATTTAAATGATGACATTCAAATTAATAAATTCTTTTTTTTTATTAATAAAAAATATTGATACGCGATTCTCGCCATCCTGAAGGTATCACGGAACAGAAACTGCAGCATGTGGACGGGTATTGTCCTGCATTAGAACAACGTTTTCATCGATAAAGCTTGCGTAAGGGAGGACAAGATCCCTTAATATTTCTCCATATATCGTTTCACCGGGAAACCTTATGAAAAAAAACTCTGATTTTGTCTCTATTACAAACACACCTTCCTGGAATCTCCTCCAAACGCCACATTTTCACTTATCCAACATTGAGCGATTCGCTTTCCAGGTCTTCTGTAGACTTGTCTGTCGTCTATGACTGCCATGGAGACACACTGCTTTCGTCATGGAAGATAACAGAGCTCCTCTGTGGTCGAGCTGTACTCCTCTGAGGTCAACTAAAGGCCAGCAGCCGGCCTTTTTGGAGTCGGATTAGCCACCTTTAGTCTTCTTCTGACTGTCTAGTCACTAAGTCACTAATTCTGACGGTCATCCCTATCACATGTGCCCCATCTTGTGCCGGATCCGCGTCTTCGGTTAAAGATACCGGTTCCTGGCATCGCTGGAAGATTCTGGATTCAGCAGACTTGCTCATGGTTAACACACGAGCCACTTCTGTTTCATCCTGGCCTTATTTCGATAGGGCAACCTCTTAAGCCACTTAGCCACTTCAATAGATGTGGCCATTTTTAGGCAGTGTTAGTGTCTAGTAATTAAGAATACGTGTAACCTTTTCAAAAATCGCTTTTTACTCTAGTGCAATTAATGGTCATGTGACAAAGAACAAGTTTCCTTTTTGCAGTATCAAACGTAATAATTTCTTTATTATGTTTACAGAACGAAGTAAACTGCATACCACGTGTTATTTTAGGAGACACGTACATGTAGTTTAGTATAGCATAAAGTTGTTATAAATATAAATTATAACCTGTTTGATGTGACCTATAAATAGGATTCGCAGTGGGCGTCTGCTTTTAATACTGCCGCGTGAGTTTATTTGTGAGGCGGAAAGCACGTGGAGATTGTTGCTCCCATAACCGAATTGGACCCCGTAATTATTCCTTTTAAAATATTTTCCATTCTTTATTTTGCACTTCACTTGTTTGAAACCGAAGACGTCTATTTACCCATGAGCTTTTATACTGACTACAACATTAATTTCTGAGAAACGAAGTTTTTCCGTACATCTGATAAGTTACAAAAATACTATTTTATCTTCAATATGTCAAAAACACTAATGCGTGTATATATTTCGATAGCTTTTAGTAACTCGAGTTTAAAGATAACTGTTAAGTTTATTTGCAAGTTAACGAGCTCTGTGTTGAAAAAAAACCACTGTCAACACCCTGTTTATCGTAAATAACAGAGGAAAGCGTCCCTGTAAAAATGCTGCATGGTGGAGTATGATCATCACTTAACCGAGTAGGTGTTGGGGCGCTACCGTGGAAGAGGTAGATAGATAGAGTTGGACTTTGGGGCTTTCCGCGCTTCACTGAGCAATTGAAGTCGCAAAACGTCACGGCGGGTCATTAAAACAATTACAAACATTAAGGGCATTTACAACTCTAACGAGCATTGCACTAGCATTTTTTTTTTTTTTTTTTTTTTTTTTTTTTCAAACATTGCCCTTACCTTAGGACAACATTATCCTGTGTTGTAAGAACGTTTTACAAACATAAATTTCACGCGGACAAATACCCAGATGCGAAACAACTATCTGTGGGTCACACAAATAGTTGTCCCGTGTGGGAATCGAACCCACGACCCCCGACGCCGAAGCCAATACGTTGGCAACTGCGCCACGGACTCATCAAAATTGCATTGCACTAGCATTAAAACTCACACATAAAAGTTTTTGGCAAACCTCGGAGCAACTGATTGTTTACTTCGTCAACAGGCATGTGTGATGTTCTCTTACGCAAACTGATAGCAGCCGCCAAGGACGTAACTGTGTCATTTTGGTCAAAGATTATGTAATTTATTTTATGAAACCGACATGCCTGTTGTTTCGTGCATATAACATTGTGTATATAAATAGTGTATTATTATTACGTCGAAGCTGTTGGTTGCATCATACGGTATACATTCGATTATGCCTACTTACAATTTGAAAGTAATCGTGAAATATTGGAGCTAATTTGGTGCTCACTTTTTATGCGTGCGGGCTATAAAGCCTTATCTCATTTTTATCGGGTAACGGCTGCATAATTTCCAGAATCGGTCACGGCCGAATTAGTGCCCTCGAACTTAAAGCAGCGGACAAGATGTGGCGCTTTGTTGTGCTGTTTATACATATGTATGTGCATGTAGATGGGGATCCATCTATGTGCACCCAGTTCAAAGGCTCAGCATAATTGAACCACAGGATTGACAGCACCCAATGTTTTTTTTTAAATAAAATAATGACACTAAATAAAAACAGGGTCTGCGGTTTCTACTGAAACTATAGACCGATTCAACATTGCTTCTTTTGTCTTGAGAGATTTAGGGCGATATTCTACGAGCATGTTTTGCTAATGAATTTTTATTTTCAATATAAAAAGAGAGTTACCAGCAATTAAATGCAATAATATGAACATGAAGTCTTCATGACATTTTGAGATTTTTTTATTTTTGCGTTTTGAATTAGATAAGTGAAAACACTGAACTAATTATTTTTTTTTACGTGAAAAGTTGCCAAGCGAACAGACTGTTCACCTGATGTTAAGTGAATACCGGCACCCATGGACATCTGTTATACCCGAGGATTCTAGATGCGTTGACAACCTTTTAAAATTGGGCTCCGGCCACCCCACTCAGCAGACGAAATGCGAAGGTATTATATTTCCACTTTACGCTGGTCTTCTGTGAGGTCGTGGTACTTACCCGGACGAGCTTGCCCATTCGTGCAACAGCCGAGGCTGTTGCGTGGCCCTACAACCGTGAAAATTTCCGGGGAAACTATGAAATTTGAACGTAAAATATCTCTTCCTTTAACCAGGGATGCTGTAAAATATTCGTAACTTTAATAGAGCTTTAATTAAAATTTAAACGCAAAAAAAAAATTGGTAAGGTAAAGTAAAAAAAACGTGCGGATAACTCGAGAATCATTTTGGATAAAACCGCGAAGCTTTTACTTCGTGGCCTATACAGCACCGGTCTTCCCACGTGTTCCTTATTTAGATACGGTGCTAGATATTTCAGTCTGAGGACTTCAATGTTTAATAATTCATAGATTGCATTACTCTGCCACTTTGAACTCTCTGCACAATTGAGCTCCGTGCTCTTTTCCGGTCGAGTGTTTAATGTTTTTGTTAGGATGCGATCAAATTAGATAAATTTTTACAGTAGATTGCATTTTACGGGTTGGTTTTTATGTGAGAAGACCGCAAGCGACCCGACGTTTTGCTCATATTAAACGAAAACCGCCGCCGACCAATTGGCAACACTGCAACTGTCAGGAGGTGCAGATGCCACCTCTAACAAAATGATCTCCTCTTAAAGAAAGTGCACTCGACAGCAACACCAGTATCCTGTGCGGCCGCGTACTTCTCCGTAATAGCAAATGTAATAAATGTTGCAAAATAATGGTGCCGTGGTTTAGGTATAATTTATTGTTAGTATCAAATATGCTAGTAGTTGTTAGTATCAATATATTGTTAGTATCAAATCGATACTTTAAAATGAAAACTCTCTTCGAAAGGCGCTGAGCCACGGATATTACTTTTCTTTATAAAATAAATACATCGCACGACATAATAGATTCCCCTGAACTTCTTTCTAAATTAAATATTAGTTTACCACGAGCTGGTGGTCGTATGCAGAGACGGAAGGTGTTCGCGTCCAATGCAATATTAAAAAGTATATTTATTCTAAGTCATGAAATGTATTGATATTTAGCCACTTATTTTTTATTTTTTTTATAATTTATAATTTTTATCGTTTTGATTATTTTTTTTAGTTACTAACTACACTCATTGTTATTATTTTTTTCGTAGACTTTTTTTTCTATTTTTATTAAAATATTATTAAGTTTAAATTTTCTATTCCACATTAATTAAGTAATTTCAATACTTGTTGACAGCATTATTTATGTGTGCATGATGGAATATTCACTTAAGGTAATCTATTTTTTTTAAACTTGTATCTATAGAAAATGTTCAAGTGTAATGTTCTGTTTGCGATCCGAAATAAAAAAAATCAATAACAATTAAATAAATAGATAACGTGCCTATATTAAGTTAATAACTCCGTGACGCAGTTGCCAAGGTTTGGTTGTTGCAGGTATTGGTTTCGCCGTCGGGGGTGGTGGCTTCGATTCCCACACGGGACAACTATTTGTGTGACCCACAGATTTGTTGTGTTTGTCCGCGTGAAATTTACGTTTGTAAAACGTCCTTACAACCAGATCTGTAACTTCACGTTATTTTTCTGTGATATCGTGGACGTGGTACTTCCCGGATGGAAGCATGGCCCTACAGTTAATATTTTTGTTTTTTGTATGCAAATAAAACGGCAAAACTTTATAATTATAAATTTATTTGAATTGGAAATAATTTATGTGTCATTTTGAATTTAATTTATAATTATAGTATAAGCTTTAATTAAAATGCTACAAATATAATGAGTTTAGTCATTTAATAGGATGAAAAGTAAACGAACCAATGCATATAATAATTTGCATATTAATTAATGGTAAATTAGTAGAGCGTGGTATCGTACACGCACACAAAGACATCCGGGGCGAACGAGAAAAATATTTGTTATGAAGGAATACTGTATCTGGACATGTATATAATTTAAAATTTATATTAATATAGTATTTTTTTGAGCGCGTAAAATGCGCGTAAAAAATTTCCGTAATATTATTTTTACTATCGAAGCTTTGACTGTGCAGTCGCTGGCGCCTCGTGCGAACACAACATTCAGCGTGGTGTACCTGGGACGTCGTGAGGGCCCCGCCAGCGCCCACCTCTACATACAAACCTCAGTCGGCATGCACAAATACCCGGTGCGTTGCGGCCGATTTCATTTAGCCGTTTCTTTATATGATCGCATCTCGTATAAATAAATATAAATATATCTAAACGAAATGACGCAGGTGTCCGCGGTGGGCGTGGCCAGCGAGTACGACGTGTGGCCGCTGGTGGGGGTGCGCGTGCCCGCCAACGCGTCCGTGGAGCCGATGCTCACCCTGTACAACCCCACCGACACCACCATACAGGTAGGCGACAGTCGGGGGCGCGAGCGGCTCGGCTCGGCTCGGCTCGGGAGCGGAGTACCGGAGAGCGAGCGGTCGGCAGGTGCGCGAGGTGTACTCGTCGGGCGCGTGGCTGCGGCTGCGGCTGCCGGGCGGCGGGCGCAGTGCGGCGCGCGCCGCGTGGGCTGTGCCGCCGCGGGCCGCGCGCGACATCGTGCGGCTGCGGCTGGCGCCCGAGGGCGGCGCCGCGCCGCGCCCGCTCACGGCCTACGTGCGCCTCAAGGCCGACGTGCCGGGCGGCGCGCTCGTCGTGGCCGTGGAGGCGCTCGCGGCCGCCGCGGGCGAGCACGCCGCGCCGCTGCAGCTGCGGCTGCGCGCGCGCGGCAGTCGCGACCCGCCGCTCACGGTACGCGCCCTCTTTGAAACGTACTCCGTATATGTTCTACGCAGTGGCCATTTCGATGAGCGGCAATAGAATCATAATAATGTGTGTCTGTTATGGCGAAAAGACGCGAGAGCCTATGTCGGGATGCAGGTGCGACTGCGCGCTGCGAACAGTGCGCAGACGGCGGTGCCGCTGCAGGCGTCGCTGCGGGCGGCGCGCTGCGTGGTCGCGCCGCGCGCGCCGCCCGAGCCGTGCGCCGCGCCGCCGCCGCCCGGCCCGCCCCCCCCCCCTCACCCGCCCCCGCCCCCGCCCCCGCACAACGGTACGCGCCCCCCGCCCCGCCCCGCCCCCCCCCCCCTCCTCCCCACTCGACGCGACGACTCCGCGCTCACGCAGTGCTCGCTCCGCAGGCGCAGAGACCGCGCCGGGAGCCCATCTGGAACTCCTGCTCTCTCAACTCGAGCCGCTCCAGAATTTCACGGATGTAGCGCAGCTGACTCTCGACTGTAAATATACTCTATATTTTACCAATAGACGTTGACTATACAATGTGTGTGTACTTATATGTACTTAGAAGTTATACTTGTTTAGTGTAACAAGATAAAAATGTTTTCAAAATTTTTATCTTGTGCCTTATTCTACTTTTGTAGAAAAAACGATACTAACAACAGAAAAAACGTATTTAGAGACGTTACTAAACATTCGTAAAAAGACGTCATATGTATTTTATAGCTTCGATATTTTTAATAACTTCGATTCCTAAGATACCTTTTATGAGCTCTTTGATATCTCGTCGCAGTGTTGGAGTATTTATTCTTCCTTTTAGGTGAGATTCTATAAGAGCATCAGCCATTTCGAAAACGAAATTTTCAAAATAAATTGAAATTTATTTTGAAAATTTTTCTAAGTGTTTGAGTTTAAAATTTCTGGGGCAAATCCGGCATAGGTTCCCCGTCTCAACCACTTTTCTCATAAACGAACTATGTCTACAACTAATTGCTAAATTCTAATTTTAACCAGGGGGCTTACGACGTCTGTAAAACCCTTTATTCTGGATAATAAAGAAATAAAATCTGTCTGAGGTCAATAATACACAAAAAATCTCAACATCGCGATTTACATATTACTGCTCTACTAATAACGCCATCTAGCGAAATTGCGCGAACACAACCAATGTGACGAAAGCTATCGATATCCTAAATAATGTAACATTAATATTGTTCATTTACTATATTCTTATAAATTTAAGAAATTACCACTTGAAAAATGGAAATGAAATAAATAGTAGTGATAGTAGATTTGCTAATATTTGCCCTTCATTGACGACTTACTGATCACTATGATGCAATAATATTGATAAAGAGTCGTCATTTAATGATGCAATAATGTTGGACGTCCCGCCGCAGACGGCGAGCTGTGGGACAGCGCGAGGTCGGACGCGCGCGAGGGGGGTGCGGGGCGCGAGGCGGGCGAGGTGCGGTGCGCGGGCTGCGTGCAGCTGGGCCGCGCAGAGCTGCCCTACTCGCTGCGGCTGGTGGCCGGCACCCTGCGCCTGGAGCCGCAGCGCCTGCAGTGAGTGCCCCCTCGGCCCCTCGGCCCCGCGGCGAGCGGCGGCCGGGCGCCGTGCTCAATGCTCTGTCCTGGCCCAGGTTCGTGCTGGCCGAGGTGGCGGCGGGCGGCGCGGCGGCCGAGGCCACGCTGCGCGCCACCAACGAGTGCGGGCGCGCCCTGCACGTGGCGGCGGCGCTGCTCTCGCCCGACGCCGCGCCGCACTTCCAGGTGCCGCTCCGCGCCTCGCCGCCTCGCCGCCGCGCGACCGACCGTCGCTCGATTCTAACCCGGCGCTCGGTCGCAGGTCGCCGACCGCACCCCGGTGCTCCTGCAGCCCGGCGAGGCCAAGGAGGTGGCGCACCTGCGGCTGCTCCAGAGCGCGCTGCGCGACAACGTGACGCTGGACGCGCGCCTCGTTCTAACCACGAACCTGTCCGACTACGAAGTGCCCGTGCTCGTGTACAGCGGCCGCTTCGAGCTGGTGCGTAGCCGACCGAGCCCCGCAGATCGGTCATCAGCGGAGCGTTCTAACCGTTGCCGCTCCCGTCCCAGGAGTGGGAGTGGCCGTGGGGCGCGGAGGGCGCGGAGGGCGCGGAGGGCGCGCTCGTGTCGCTGGGCGCGCTGGGCACGTCGGCGTCGCGGCGCGTGGGCGTGCGGCTGCGCAACGCGGGCCCCGCCCGGCTCTGCGCCCGCGAGCTGCGCGCCTCGCTCTCGGCCGGCTCCGCGCAGCTCACGCTGGCCGCGTGCGCCAACGCGCCGCCCGACCACCCCTGCGTAGGTGCCCCGTCTGCCCCGCCTGCCGCTCGCCGGGCCGCCTCTTGACCGTGCCGTGGTCCGCAGCGCTGCGCGGAGGCCGGCGACTGGCTGCAGGGCTGGCTGGTGGTGGTGGCGCCGGCGCGGGCGGGCGCCGTGCGCGGCCACGTGCGCGTGCGCAGCCAGCACGCGACCGCACAGGCGGCGCTGTCGCTGCGCGCGCTGCCCGGCCGCCTGCTGGCGCACCACCTGGACCTGCCCCCCGCCGCACCCGTACGTAGCCGCCTCCCGCTGCCGCCGTGCGTCGAGCGTCGCAACTCCCCTCGACTCGGTCTCTCGCTCTCTGTCACAGTACGCGTGGTCGTCGGCGGAACTGGTGCTGGAGAGCACGATGGACGTGGAGATGCGGGTCGTGAACGTGACGCAGCCCTCCCCGGACCCCGCGGTGAGCTACAGGTGAGCGGGCGCAGTCCGGCCCCGGCGCCCCGTCCGGCCCGCGACGCCGTCCTCTCGCTCTGCGGCACTCTGTCCTCTCGCTCTGCGGCAGGCCGGCGGAGGGCGGCGCGGGCGTGGTGCGCGCCGGCCGCCGCCCGGTGGGGCGGGTCTCGTTCGCGGCCGAGCGCCTCTGCCAGCCGCTCTGCTACACCGGCCTCGACCTCGCCTCGCCCGGTCGGTACCCTTTGTCTTTTTTAATGTTATCTCATGTGAAGTTCGGCATACGACGAGATCGCGCAGACGTCGTCGTGCCCCCAGTGCACTGTTGACCCACTAAGTAGACGAGTTGCGACGGTGCAGAGGGCGCGGCGTGGCTGACTCGCAGCAACGCCTGTGACGAGGCGGCACTGCAGGATGACGTCGCGCTGCTGCAGACGCGACTCGACCGCTTCCGACGCCACCAACAGCTGCACCGCAACCTCTCGCTGCACGTGCACACCGACGAGGTGAGCGGCCGCTCGGCTCTCGTCTATCTGGCGTACGAGCCGCGCAACCGTATTATAATTAAAAATAAAAAAGTCCCGCTGAGTTTCTTTAAGAACTTGTAGTAGTATTTAGACAAGTATTAAGTGTTTTTTTTATGGGAAAAAAGCGGCAAACGAGCAGGAGGCTCACCTGATGGTAAGTGATCACCGCTGCCCGTGGACACCTGAAACACCAGAGGGCTTACAAATGCGTTGCCGGGCTTTTAGGAAAGAGTATGCTCTCTTCTTCTTAAGTTAGTAACAGGGGGCTCCCGCCCAGAGGTGAGAAACTCTATGTGGGGCCGAATTTGCGCCATATAAAGGTTTAGGCGATGTGCCGACGTGAAGTACTGCCTCGCCTTGCTGAGCACACCGAGCTTCTTTGAGGCCAATCTGGCCTTACTTTCCAATTGCCCGCGGAACTGGACATTTTTGAGATTTCGACGCCTATTATTCCGATACTTGCTCTCGTAGACAAGGGAGTGATCTCAAAATGAAGAGTCACGACAAAACGGGACTTTTTAGCGGTTAACGCGCAAACTTGTGTCTTATTGCGGTTGAATTGGACTAAGTTTAGTCGACCCCAGTGTAACGTGTGATTTCATCACTTTGTCGAAATTGTTGTTTTTCTAAAGACTAGGCTGCATGTCATATGAACCTTTGCCTGTTCGAAAGGACGAATGTAAAAGTTAACTTCATTTGGTCGTACTTGTCATTTGAGATTGCCGCCGGTTCAAATTGGCATTGGATAAATTGGTTTTTGTGGATCTATTATCTTCGACTGTGCATGGCTAGAGGTTGAAATCAGAACACGTTCCTGGTCGTATTAATTGTGATTGCTGTCTGGGAAACTCTTTGCTGGATTTGTTATCCCTCGTGGTGGATGCTGAAGGCATAGGTGGCTGGTAAGCTGGTCTGAGCTGCTGCTCAATTAAATATTGTTTTTTACCTCCAGTTGGTCTCCTACATACCCCCCAACAGTGTGGCTGTACACACTACACTTGGCCTGACTTTCTCTACTGGTTCTGAGCTCAACGCTGACCTGTGCACACAGGGCAGGTGTCTCTGCGGTGACATAGATTTGAAATAACTACCTGATTGGACTTTATTTTTTAAATTGAATTGCATAACTTTCATAATCTTAAATTAATTTAATTATCTAACCTTTTTATGGTCGCACAAAGTCCTACACATTACTTTGTGCGACCATAAAAAGGTTAGATAATTAAATTAATTTAAGATTATGAAAGTTATGCAATTCAATTCAAATCCTATGTACTCGCGACTCCCTGAGATACTTAATTGTATTTATTACAACAGTCTGTTCCTAACAGACAAGGCGCCCAACTCATTATTATTGTTATATTTTTTTAAATATATTGTATCCGAGCTAGTCCTGGGATTGTAGTAACTTTAAATTGGAGAGATAAATACATCTTAACTGCGAATAAATCTTTTATTAAATCTCCCCATCATTAACTACACCATCCAATATAGAAACGTTACACCAGTCTGCGACTTTTGTAAACAAAGTCTCGACTTCAGACACAAGCTTGTTCCGGTTTTAGTAGACGTTTTCGCGAGAAATGTTAGCACGGCCAGTGTACGAGACATCCACAGTGCTATCATCTGCATAGCAATGAACGTTGCTGATTTGCAATATATCATTGATATGCAGAAGAAACAGAGTGGGAGACAGTACGCAGCCTTGTGGAACACCAGCATCGACAAATTTAGGATCAGACGATCAGCAAAAAATCTGGAGAGATCTGGAAAGATCCAGTTGCATAACTTCTCGGGAAGCCCATAGGAAGCTTCGAAAGCCCCATCAAAGGCCTTCGCTATGTCCAGACTGACTGCAAGCGCCTCCCCCTTGCTCTCAACTGCTTCTGCCCATCTGTGTGTCAGGTAAACTAGAAGATCACTGGCTGAGCGACCTCGACGAAAGTCGTACTGGCGGTCGCTAAGCAGCTGGTGCTCCTCTAGGTACCGAAAAAGCTGGCAGTTAATGATGGACTCCATTAACTTGGAGTACAAGGAGCTGATGACTATAGGCCTGTAGCTGGACGGATCCGAGCTGTTGCCTTTCTAAGGGATCGGGTGCACTAAAGCGGCCTTCCAGGATTTTGGAGTGTGTAGTATTTAGAAAGTGTTGATGATGATGTTTAGGAACGTAATGAGTAAGCTTCTATATTGAATAAAGATATCGGAGTTCGGGTGCAGGTGATGCAGATCCCCGTTGCGGGCTCGGTGCAGCTGCACTGGCCGCGGCTGCGCATGGACGACGCGCACGAGCGGCCCGCCGGCGAGGCGCCCGCCGAGGGCGACGCCTCGGGGGCGGAGGGGCCGGAGGGGGCGGAGGGCGCGGCGGGGGCGGAGGGCGCGCTGGCCGCCGTGGGCGCGACGCGCACGCTTCGCCTCGTGGCGCGCAACCCGTCGCGCTCGCACCCGCTGCTGCTGCAGGCCGCCGTGCACGCCGACCTGCGCCTGCCCGCGGCAGCGGCCGAGGGCGCGCCGCGCTGCGCCAACGGCAGCTGCTCCTGGGCGCCGCGCGCCTTCGCCGTGAGTGGCTGGCGCGCCCGGCGCGGCCACGTGCGCGAGTGGGCGCCGCCGCACCTGCCGCCGCGCGCCGCCCACGTGGCGCCGCTGCTGCTGCTGGCGCCCGGCGCCGTGCTCGAGCTCGCAGTGGCCTTCGCGCCGTCCGCGCCGGCGCGCCTCGCCGCCTACCTCTACCTCAGGTGCGCCCCGCCCCGCCCCCTCCCCACCGCACCCACCGCACCCACCGCCGAGAGCGCCGTCTGAACGCACGCGCCTCCCTTGCAGGAACAACCTGACCATTCTGGAGGGTATACTATTGACGGGCGAAGGCGCCTATCCGAGTTTCGAATTGGCCGGCCGGAAACCAGGATCGGCGACTCCCATTCTGTTTGAGGTTATTATATTTCATTATATTTCACTTAAATATAAATTATTATTGTAATAACTTTAATATTCGAATTTATACTAATAAGGTTGACATAATGAGGTTTCCAAAAAAACATTATTGTTATAAATGCTTTATTGAACACCATTAAAATTTTAATGTGGTAGGGCCACGTAGCAGCCTTGTAAGAACCACCTCATCCAGGTAAGTACCACGACTTCACACAGGACCGGCGTAAAGTGGAAGTATGATAAATACTTTCGCGTTTCGTGTGGTGAGTGAGGTAGCCTGAGCCCTATTTTGAACAGGTTGTAAACGCATTTGTAACCCACAGGTGTAGCAGATGTCCGTGGGCGGCGGTATTCACTTAACATCAGGTGAACCACCTGCTCGCTTGGCAACTTTTCACCTAAAAAAAAAGAAAAATAAAACATAAATAGAAATTTTACAGAAGTAAAAACTTATGAGGTAGAAACAGTAAGGCGGTCTTAAAGCTAAGGAGCGATCTCTACCAGACAACCTTGTGGCTAAAAATATTTTATTTTGGACAACGATAGGTGATGCAAATGATAAAGCTTCTGTAAGTGCTGCCATCGCGACAAATTACTGACAGGTATATCTTTCAGGTCAGGTTGAGGGATATTGATTGAAGCTTCGCCGATCAGAAAGTGTCCAGGAGTAAGTGGCAATATAGTGTCTGTATTAGAGTTGTCTATAGGGCTTAAAGGTCGTAAGTTAAGATAGGCTTCGATTTGGCATAACAGTGTAGTCATTTCTTCATAAGTGAGGTTGGAAGTCAATATTCTTCTCAAGTGGTACTTCATAGGCTCTTTGTTTGAACCAATGAAGTTTCTTCCCTGGTCGCTCCAGATATGCGCGCATCTTCCTCTTCGTGCTACAAATCTTTTGAAAGCTTTGATAAAAGCTTCTGAGCTAAGATCACCGACTAGCTCTAGGTGATAGCTTTTATAGACATACAAACAAAGATGGCGATACATGCTTTTGAAGATTTTGAACCCTTCGACATGAGTATTTGATAAGGACCAGCAAAGTCTATTCCGCTATTCATAAAAGGTCGAGCTGGTGTGACTCTTACTCGAGGTTTGTCACCCATTATTTGAGATTTTAGCTGAGATTTAGCTGCAGCATTTTGTTTAGCACAAATAAGGCATTTTTTTATTCTTAGTTTTACAATGTTCTTTGCTTTAAGAATCCAGTATTTAGATCTCAAATATCCGAGCATCACTTGCATTCCACCATGTAATGTCTTCAGGTGAGCATCAGCCTCAATAAGTGCAGTTAAACTGTTATTACAGTCTAGAATAATAGGATGTTTAGCATCTTCGCTAAGATCAGAGTGGCGTAATCGACTGCCCACCTTGAGAATCTTTTCTTCATCCAGGTAAGTTAGAATAAGTTTGATTTTACTTCCGTTTTTTACTTTTCTTATTGTTTTTAAATTTTGTATGTCTTCTTCAAAGACATCTTTCTGAACGCCCGCTTTATGTCTACCAACGTGGTCCGGTACTCCCCTGTGTTCTGCTTGGCCGAGGAACTTCAGCTGCATGAGGATTTTCCAAAAAAACGTCGTAAATCTCGTGGCAGGTGATGCTGCGTACCAGAATTTGTTGGGTGGAACTTGGACCCTGGAATTTACGTTCCGTCACTAAACCTCCGTTCTTGTAACCTCCCTGAATGTGCCCACCTCAAGCAAAGCGGAAAGGAAATACCGAAATGTAGAAGTGAGGTGGCTATAAAGGCAATCAGATGGAGACAGAAGATTGTTAAAAAAATATTTATTTACCCACATACAAAAAAATAATTGAAAGCTAATATTAAAATAGATTCAAACACATTGCACATTGATAAGAAAATAATCGCAGTGGAAAATTAATAGCGGGTAGCACATAACATGAAATATTAAAGAAAAAGCAAATCAAGTTGTAATAATAAAAATACGTTTAACACTTACCCAATATGGAGTGACGTAATAATTAATTAGAAGGCTTACTCCAAATACATGTTGTAATATTTCAATACAACGGTTCGAGGTACTTTAACGTACAAAGTTTTATTTAAACATGTAAAGGTTGTAAGGACTACATCCAAGCAACCAACGTAGTAGTGTACGATAGGAATAGTAAGATCACAGTTTTAGCTCTGTACTGCCCCCCAAGACATACAATTAAAGAAAGTGAATTTTCCGACTACTTCAACGCACTAGGCCATCGCTTTATAGCCGCAGGCGACTACAACGCCAAACACACCTTTTGGGGGTCTAGACTCATCGTGCCTAGGGGTAGGGAACTTTTAAAATGTATTCAAGCAAATAGTATGGATGTTGTCTCTACAGGACAGCCAACATATTGGCCTACAGACAGAAGTAAGATACCAGATCTCATTGACTTCTGTGTCACCAAAGGACTTACGAAAAATAATATATCCTGCTATAGCTGCTGGGATTTATCGTCAGATCACTCACCCATTTTTATAAATATAAATTCACTGTAAAAAAATGTACATTGCACAATAAGGAAACTAACTGGACTCTTTTTCGATACTTCATAGATGAAGCATTTAAAGTACCACCTCCACTCGAAACAGAAAATGACATTACAAATGCTGTTGAATTCTTTAATACAAACGTACAAAATGCCGCATGGAACTCGACTCCATTAGATCAATACAAGACCGATGCTCAATCTATGGCCCCAAACATATTGGACTTAATTAAGGAAAAAAGAGAGACCAGAAAATTATGGCAAAAAAATAGATGTCCTCATACGAAAAAAATATTCAACCACAAAGTAACAGAACTAAAACAAGTTCTGGAACGAGATAGAAACGCTTCCTTCCAGGCATACCTAGAGGGCCTTAATGCAACAGCAGCTACAGACTACTCTCTTTGGAAAGCCACTAAGAAAATAAAAAGACCCATAGTAACAAGTTCACTACTTAGAAAACCAGATCTCAGCTGGGCACTTAGTGATCAAGAAAAAGTAGCTACATTTGCGGAACACCTGGAAAAAGTATTTCAACCCCACCCGTATGAGGGTTCACCCAAACATGAAAAAGAAGTTATCGAATTTATTGATATCCCCGATCAGGATAATATCGAACCAGACTACTTTAATAAAAGTGAACTAGAAAACATTATTAAAAAGCTAACTCCAAGAAAGCCCCTGGATATGACCTAATTACCAACAAAGTCTTACAGGAACTACCAGACTCTGGAATAACATTACTCACAGCAATCTATAATGCCATCACCAAAACAAAAAGTCATCCAGCCGCAATGGAAGGTCGCACAAATAATTATGCTGTTGAAACCAAACAAGCAACCAGAGGACCCGAAATCATATAGGCCGATTAGCTTATTACCCATACCTGTGAAAATATACGAATCCCTAATATCACGCCGACTGACACCAATTTGGATTTCGTGGTAAGCATGCCACCATCGAACAGGTCCACAGGCTAATAAGCGAAATTGACAAGGCATTTGAAACTAAAAAGTACTGTGCTAGTGCTTTTTTAGACATATCACAAGCCTTTGATAGGGTATGGCATGAAGGCCTCTTATTTAAAATAAAATCTCTACTCCCTACCTACATGTACAAAATGCTAAAATCTTTTTTGGAAAACAGACACTTCCTAGTCCAAAACGGCGAAGCGCTCTCAAATCTGTACCCTATTAAAGCAGGAGTTCCACAAGGCAGCGTGCTAGGTCCAACTTTGTACCTTATCTACACATCTGATCTACCAACTTCAGAATGTATCACCACCGGTACTTTTGCTCACGATACCGCGATCTTAGCAGCCCACTCAGACCCAGTTGAGGCTGCGGAACTCTTACAGTTTGGGCTTAATGATATTTCCACCTGGTTAAAAAAATGGAGAATCAAGGCTAACGAAACAAAATCTGTAAATGTTACCTTCATTCTAAGAAAAGGCACTTGTCCACCCGTCAAACTAAATAACTCAGAAGTCCCTCAGTCAGACCATGTCAGGTATTTAGGATTACACCTTGATAAGCGACTCACCTGGCAAAAGCAAATTTTCACAAAAAGGAAACAACTGGGATTACAACTACGTAAAGTGTATTGGTTAATTGATCGCCGGTCACAACTGTCACTAAGTAGCAAGCTCTTATTCTACAAAACGATACTTAAGCCGATCTGGACTTATGGAATACAGCTCTGGGGGACAGCCTCCCATTCCAACATTGAAATCGTACAAATATTTCAAAACAAAATCTTGAGGATGATAACCGGTGCCCCCTGGTTCGTCACAAATGAACAACTTCATCACGACCTGCATATGACCACAGTCAAACAGGAAATACTGTTCTATACAAAAAAGTACAAAGAAAGACTTAAAGACCATCCGAACAGCCTGGCCAATGTCTTGATGAAAGACAACACTACAATCCGCAGACTGAAACGGAAGATACCCCAAGACATACTAAAATCGCAACAGTGAAGTAAAGTAGGATGCGACACAGGTCGCATACCGAGCATGTCCATAACAAACCCATCCAACCCACTGATAAATGTCCCCTTGGTGACAGATCGCAGTGAAATGAGAGACAAAAAAAAACATGTAAAGGTGCTAACGAAAATATGTTCGCGTTGCACAAACCGAACCGTAACGGAGAATGAGCCGGTCGGATTCAAAATCCGGCACATTCATTCATACGTCATGCGACCAGGAAACCTATGCCTCGGTGCATTATGGTTTACACTCCGTTACTAAATTATGTACGTAACCATTACAAAGTCACAAACTTCTAGTTTATTTACATTTAAAAAAAACTTTTGCAATATGTTGTTGTATTGTTATATTATCTTTAAGAATTCTGTAAGATTATCAAATTGATCAAACTTTACAGAAAAGTGTTTTTCTTTGCTTTCTACATTAGCATGAACTAATAAGATTTCTTTTCTTTCCAGGTTCGTGGTTATGTTCTTCGGTCTGTTGTAATGGATGTCATCCTCTCTTAGCCTAGT